GTGTCTCTTTCCCTGATCGCTGTCAGAGATTTTTCGAGCTGCTTTCCCGGTGGTTTGGTTGCTATGGTAAAAATCTAAAGGCTGGTCTCCGTGCTGAAAGTCCAGCGCAGTTGGCCGGAGTGTTTGAAGAACAGTGTGTGTGTGTGTGTGTGTGTGTGTGTGTGTGTGTGCGCGTGTGTGTGTGTGTGTATCTGTGTGGGCTCATATGATCGTTACATCGTGTCAGTCCAATGATGGCCACTTTTAAAATGTCTCTTTGTCCTCGCTTGTGCGTCTTTGTTTTGACAGTTTTCTGGTTTTAATTCCAAATGATTATTTTTCTTTTTTAAGCCAAGCACATGCATTCATCTGAAAAAAAAAGGTTACACTTCCTGAACTCGGAAGGACACGCACCTTTTAAGGCGTTGGTCGTGTTAGTGCAGGAGCTTTTTACTCTTCAAGTAATGAAGAAGGTGCGAGGTGAAGTAAATAATGGGGATATCGTGAATGAGGTGGGCATCCTTTGCCCTGTCGCTAGGTAACAGTCTCGAGGCCCGAAGGCAAAGCCAGCCCTGGTCTCCATGGCAACATCATTGGTGTGGAGAGTAAAGGGAGTTTTCATGGTTGTTGTCTGAACTGTATAGTGTCTCGTATACGTTACTACAGGCAGGAAGGCGATCAGATCGACTTTGGAACCGACTGGATGGAAGCAAGTGAGTGAGGTCACACTATGTGTTCACACTCTGCCTCGTGTGTTTAATTAAAAACACAGATATTTATTTATCTTCTGAGTTTCTATTCCCAAAGCCCATTAGAGGTGAGCACAAAGAAAACCAAAGGGATCATAAAGTGGCAAGCAACATAAGATGTTTGCTTGTGAAGACCTGATGTAGGAAAGCAGCAGATCGTTAAAGGTGGTTCAGGCAGGTGGAGTGGAAGAGAGCTGCTTTAGAGCTCTTAGAGAAGGGGGGCAATAAGTGCACTTTCATCAAATGAAAAGATAAAATATGTTTTGAAACATGAGCCATTCTTACCTAGTGACTGAAAAGTAGAAGCGAAGAAAACGGTGGCCTCAACATTATCCCCACGCATGCGTAATCTAAAAAGCAGTTTTTATTGTTTCAGCTGAATGGAACGAATCAATGAAGTGCTTTTCTAGGAAGAGGGTTGGCCTTCCTATTAATGTTTTGTCATTTTTATTTTAAATGTTACATTTTTGGGGGTAGGGCACCAAAACTGGCTTTAGCCCAGGTCCTCTCATCCGTCTAAATCCGGCCCTGATTGTCAGTATCAACCTGATCTTGGTATGAATATAGATTCTCTAGGAAATGCACACAAGATGGCCGTTTCATTAAGGCTAATTGTCTCTGTTTGCTAACATAAGTTACTAAAGACATTTACAAATATTAACTCCAAGTCATCTGAATTACAATAGCTGAATTTGAATGATTTTTTGAGGGCAATACGCTACCTCCATACCTGCTGAACAGCTTATAAGGAACTTTCTGAAAATGAGTCAGCTATCACAGCTTTTTCACTTTGTAATTGTAATTTCACTGACAGTCCTCCGCTCTATCACACACACAAGGCAGGCAGGCAGCATAGACAGTGCAGCAAGCAGCCAGACAAAAGCATGTTTGTGTTCAGGAGAATTTCAAGCACAGTGGGTCTCTATGTATGGAAGCAGTGTCAGGCTCGTCCCAGAGAGGCCGGGGAGGATGGTGAGGGTGTAGCTGGAGGGGATTTCACAGACTCTTTTCCTTCCAGCAAGACTACAATAATCATTTAAAATGTACATTAACCCTCTTACTTTATTTTTATTTACTTGATTTTTAACGTTTTCATATGTGCAATGAAATTTCAAGAGAATCTGATCTTTATCAGTGGGAGCGAGGAAGTTTTTCTCCGTTTGCTTTGAGTTTACTCCATCATATGAGTCCATCCACATTTTCATCTTTAACAGCAACTTTTGAATGCTTTGCTTTGTTGCTTAGTGTAAGATTTCATCATGCAAGAGATTGCTATTTATCAAAGTAAGGAAGACAACCTTTTTATTACAAGCTGTTGTCAGGCACCAGCATGACAGAGACTTCCAATCGATTACAGAATGCTTGCTGTGGCAAAATTGAGTTTACAGCAAAAACACACTGACATTTAAAAAAACAAAGTTGTCAATACCTTTCTACTATCACTTTTATCATCATCACAATAACTACCACACCATATCGTGTCAAAATTTCAACATAAAGTAACAGACTTTGAGTGCTGGGGGCATCAATTTCCAACATAGAAATGAATCTGAATTAAATCTGTATTGAGTGGTTTCACCATTATGCAAAAACAGTGGAATAAACCAACATGCCTCACTGTTTAAAATCTCTTTTAAAAACATCAATGCCGAAGCAGACCTTGAATCTTGTGCCACAGTTCTAGGGGGTCTGACTTTAACGGAAGAAATAACACCCAACCGGTGTGTGTGAAGTGAAAGAATACCCATCTCTGCAGTTTTCTCATAACTGCAAAGCTCAGCATGAAACTTTAAATTTAGATTGCTTCACCTCACACCGTCCATTCCTGCAGGGCATCCTGGTTTAAGGCATGGCTGATTCAAGTGGTTTATACTGGTGCGTAGGGATCAGAAGAAGAGGGAGGTTGCACGTTGAAAGAAGGCAACCAATGGAGAACTGTAGTCGGACCCCTCTAACGACACTGACCCCTGTGAAGCATCTGCTGCAATTTCACCACAATATATCATCCCAGGATGATGATTTTGTATTTATTTCTGAGCCGCTCTAAGATTTTCATTACCCTGGTGCCAGGCCCCCAGCTATGAAAGTTTTCTTGAAGCGTTGCAAAATTTGTTTGATATGTCTCCAGCAGCTGGCAAAAAGAGAAAGTTTTGAAATGTACACTGATGTGGAAGTAAAATTTGTGATTAACATTGGAAAAGGTGAAAAAAGAAGAGCAAGTCTTTTATTAAATGACATAATTCTGTTTAATTCAAGGCAGAGAAAGAGTTGGAGCAGCATGATGTATCTGCATAGTGAAGTAAGTAGGTAGACGAAAACCCAAAGTGCAGCCACTTCATGCGTCGATGCGCATTTTTACCCCCCTCCACACACTCGTTAAAAGTACAAAAAAGCAGTGGCTGTCCATTGTGGTGAAAAGCAAGGAGTGCTTTTGGCGACCTGAGACAAGAGTAGAGGCCTGAGGACCCAACACAGATTCACACACACACAATCTGTCATCGAACGCAACAATTGCAGAGTGTGTGTCTGTACACACAAAGAGATGCAAGCCCCCTGTTGTACTAAGGTGAACGACACCAGCCTGTCCCAAGCAGATGAATGTAGTATTCAAAGCAAGGACAGACACACACACACACACACACGCTCACAGTGAAAAATGCACCGTCATCACAGAGCTCTCACCCTGAGGCTGGGACCGCGGATCAACCAAACTAATCAGTTGCTTTAGCCACTATGTCTGAGTCTGCTGGTTAGCTTAGCAGTTAATTAGCAGCTGTTTTGTTAGATAAAAAAAAGTGCCACAGGTGGCCCTCTAGTGGCGGCAGTAAGGAGCTTCCTTTTTATGTAGGTCATACTACTCGTCACGCGTCTTCTGGGTTTTCTGTACATTTTCTCTATTTGTGACGAGACCAAGTGGATCAGCAGCAGACTGAACTGAATGCCATTGCCCATGATGCATCACTGCCGCTGCTCGCCAGCTGCATGGATGCCAAAGAACGACGAGGAAGATGGGGGATTGGTTGGAGTCGAGTCGGGGCTGCCGTTTGTAATGAGTGACATGGAAAATTTGTTTAAACGAGGAGGCATATGGGAAATTAAGAGGATTGGTTCTGATCTAAGATCATGGTTATGCCAGCCCAAAAGCAGCTGTTCTGCTCTGACCTTAAGCACTTCCACAAAACTAATCTGCTGCCTCATTAGGCCCACCAGGGGCCGGAGGACTGAGTTGCTGAAGCAGCCCTGGGCCGTGCTGTTTTTGTGTCTTTTCTTTTGTGCAGACAGTGTGCCAGTTCCTAGCAAAGGTTGGTGTGTGACAGCAGAGTCAAAGACTTGAGCAAGAGTTTCTCACGAGTTGAAACGTCAAGGCTTCATGACCTAAAAGCAACAACTATTTCAAAGATGAACAAAACAGTAATGTAATTTATTGCATTTGTTAAACTATAGAAAAATTTGAATGAAATACCTCCGCCAGTTTCTAGCTATAAAGGGATTAAATTTGCTGGTTACTTAGGAAGGCTATCTTGGCATTGGTATTTCCAAACACTTGTTGATGGTCCATTCATTAAGGGTATCCAATAAGCATATCAGGTACATTCCTTTTTAAATTATGTGGAATTCAAAAAATACTGACGCATTGTCTCTGTATTCACATAACAATGTTTACATCTTTATATTGTCTTACAGACAATATTTTAAATTTCAGATATTCACTTTGCCCATGGGAACGAGATGGTGTACAGCAAAGGTTTCACGAAAGTTTGGGATGTTGTGAGGAAAACAAAATAACATTATTGTCTCTTGTTGGTTGAGGTTAGAGGGCATTGAAGGAATTCTCAACCTTGATATTGCTGTCAAAGTTGTCTTGATGTGTTTTTTTTTTTAAAGTTTTGGATTTTACTTCTAGTAAAAGGTATCAATAATTCATTGTTTTTTTTTCTGGCAATGAAACTAGAGGGGATTGTAGAATCACCTATAACACTGAAGCCTTCCTTTGTTGTTGAGTACAATTGATCTGCCTCTTGGGTCTTTCTTAATTAAAGTTCCAACCTTTGTTTTGCTCTGGTTGGTCCATTGGATCAATCTTTTTCTTTCAGTTGCCTTTCAGGCCAACATAAGAGAAAGCATTTGCGCTCTTTTCAGGGCCCACCCTGATAGTATGCTATTAGCAAAGACTGTTTTCCACTGTGGAATCTGGGAAATCGGTGGGCTGTGGCGTAAGTTTCAATCTCCCTAACTATCTCTCTTTTACTCTCTTCTTTTATCTTTGAGCAGATCATGGCGGAGTACACCTCTTTGCTCAGCGACCTGTCTGAAAACATAACCAACGAGGACTTGGAGCAGCTCAAGTCAGCCTGCAAGGAGGACATCCCTGAAGACCAGAGCAACAACATCACCTCCTCCAAGGAGTGGTTCAGCTACCTGGAGAAGAACGACAAGCTTGCCCAAGGTGAAAAAGCTCAGATTCCAGAATTCTTACAGTGAACGCCTTGTTTCTGTGATTTAACTTCAACTTTGTTAAACCAAACCCTTCCTAATGCAGATAACTTGTCTTACATCGAGCACATCTTCGAGATCTCTCGGCGGCCAGACCTGCTGACCAGGGTGATAGAGTACCGCACCACTGTGCTCAAGATCTCCGAGGACGACGAGATCGACACCAAGCTCACACGTATCCCCTCCGCCAAGAAATACAAAGGTAAGCACATTCTGGAAGCATGGATTCAACAATGTGAGAAACAAGTTAGACGTTTCTGGGACTGGTTTCTTGAGACCTGTCCTGTTTTTGAGTTTTACTTTTTCTCATCTTCTTTCCTCCTTTGTCCTTCTGTCCGGGATCCGCAAATTGATTCCAGCAAAGCACCTTGAAGGGCATCTCTGTTCCTGAAATACACACAGAGAAGGGACAGAGAATCTCTGGCATAAGTCTGTTTCAAATGCACAACACCTAATGGTGATGTGGCAAAAAAAAATCCTGGCTTGTAAATTAGATTTAAAGTCTATGTGTAAAGTAAATCAGTCGCCACGGTGTCTGGCATAATAAAATATAGAGGCAGGCTGAAAGTGGCCAATGCTAGCTGTTGCAGCTGTGTCCCAAATATCAAATTGGCTTTTATTTGAAATAATGGGTTTCCTACAAAAGATTTAATTTATTTAAGCACCTGTTACCCTTGCGTCCTATGCTTGTAGCTCCATCCAGGAGGACAAAGATGCAAAGAGCAAAGTTGAGTATTATCAAACTGAGAGATGAGAGAAGCAGCAGTCTTCCAAACATGGCTGATGTCTGCCCTCTCATGGTTAAACAAAGCAATCGCAAGAATTATTTTGTGGTTTTTGTTTTTTGTTTAATAAGTTTCCAAAGTAAACTTCCTCCAAGCTATGCTGATCATTATTATGTGAAAACCCTGTTCTAAATAAATGAAAGCAGATGGAGTTATTTAAAAAATGTGAAAGGAAAGGAACTTCGTCTGGTGACAGAAGAAAATCTGTGTAGTGCGAAATCTTTTCTCAACATTTATTGTGAAATTGCAAACTTCTCACTTTTCTTGTGTTATTCCATGAACAGTGACAGAAAAAGTACTCAAACAATGTACTTAAGACTTGTTTATTGTCTATATTGACAACTTTCTTTCTCTGTCTCCTCTCTCCAACACACTCACATCTGGAAAAATAAAGACATCATCCGCCAGCCCTCTGAAGATGAAATCATCAAGTTGGCACCTCCTCCTAAAAAGGCATGAGGTCAATGTCCGGAGTCCCAATCTTGGCACCTTGATTTGTTCCACTTCCGGCACTCAGATCATCTAACCAAACATTTTCCATCAGTCCTGTTAACCCACCTCAGTCTCCCCGACACCACCTCCAGACATATACACACACATACACATGCATCGCTCCCTACCATCCCCTGCCTCCTTAGGTACCACAAATGACACTGGACCACGCAAGACGCTGTCAACAGCGTCAACCAATCAGATCGTAGCGACGCAGCCCCTTCCCCAGCTGAGGGGGGATGGGAAGTTGCGGAAAAAAAAAAGAGAGAAAAAAAAAAAAAGACACTTCAAGATAAAATGTGGAGATGGACCAACATAGTATGTGTGTGAGGAGAACACTGAAGTCTGTCCTGGATGCTGAGTGGGTCAGTTCTGAATGAGTGTTTCGTGACGTTGCGTGTCCATGTCGTTTGAAGGTCGCTAAGCATGAAACAAAAACTAGGCTAACCCATGATGAAGCAGAAATTACAGACCCTGTGTCTGAGTAAAATAAAAAACTTACAAGGCTATATTTTATTCTGAAATTCTTAAAAAAAACCTACAGAACTTAAAATATGAAATTACATTTGTGGGAATAAGTGCAGTGATTATGTCACTGCAACTTATATTTTGTCTTTGCAAATTTATCTAAATTTAACTTGATTGTACAACATAGCCAAACTTTTAAGACCATATTAATATTTGAGCACTAAAACAACTAAGTGCTTTAGATGATAGAAAACACTGTCAGAAGATAACCACCAGGTAAGGCTCAATGGTTGAAAAACAAAACAAAATCTTACACATTGTCGGGTTTTTTTTTGTGAAGGTGCTTGTGTTAGCTTGTAGCTAGCTTAATAAATATTCGAGTCTGTTTGTGTTAAGAGGAATAGTCTAGATGCCAAACTCACATCTGTCGATTAGCCAAAAGTTAGCATTAGTGCTAAACTTGAACAAAGATCGAGTCGTTTTTGCCTCCCTGTTCCAAGACAGTAAGCTGAGCTAAGCTAACTTCTTCAAGCGAGCTGCAAGGGAGCGTCGGTTTCCTAATATCAGAGGGTGACTCACGGGAAAATATGTCTCCACAAATCTAGTTGTTCCTTACTGCGTCATTAGGTTCACCGAGTTACTTGAAGCTAAATGCTAATGTCAAATTTTATCAATGGAAGAGTCTCTGTTCCCCCAAGGCTCTGAGCGTTCCCATCACCCTAACATGATTAACGAGGTCATGCTTCAAGAGCAAGAAACATGTCGAATATTTTAGTGAAACATATTTAAAATTGCCGATATTTGCCTTTAGCTTGTAGTCACTTCAAAGAGTTATTTACAGGAGATATTTAGCTGTAACATTTATTTCTTCGCAATGGAAGATCCCTTTTTGTTGGGAACTTTTCATTATTGGGACCAGTCAGAGTGAATGTTCTTTTTAGGGACAGGTTAGAGATGTAAATAAATAATATATTCCAAGAACATATAGTAGAAGTAATATAATGATCCACAGTTTATGCTCTTTGGGGCAAACTCTAGCTCTAGCAAGAACCACATATAGGTTCAGTTAGTGTAGCTAGTTTCAATAAAAAGTTCAGCTAATCCCAAACCATCTAACATCTCTTTGTAAGCAAAGAGAAGTTGGGCTACATCATCCCTACGTACATTTTGGGAGAGTTGGACATTGTATGTTGGTTTTCTCGTTATGTAGCCTGTTTTAAGCATCTTTGTTATCGTATTTGTCGTTCAGAAAACAATAGACCAGTGTATTTTGAAAGACTACTCAAGGCTTCTGAGAGGAAAAATAAAAAATAAAATCAGTTTTACGTGATCATTCAAATTCCTTACTCAAACTTCAACGGTCCCTATAATGCACACAGCGGCTCATTATCGGACCACGCCATTTCCGCCATGCACCGACACGAAAAGAAAAGCTAGCAGACTGTTGAATCTAAACTTTAATGACCACTCTTCTGAACACTGTGTATCTTTTCTCCCATGACAAAGCCTTAGCAGAGTTTTTGCGTTTACTCCCCCTGAATTTTTATTCTTTTTTTTTTTTTTCTCCACAACTGTGAGCATTCAGGCGTGTGAAAAGTAGCGACGGGCGTCGGCGGCACACGCGTTAGGTCAATCAAAGCAGCTCTCCATTTTAAAGAGAGCTGTGTGACTTTTCTTTTTCTTTGTAAAGATTTGCTAAGGACTTCAGTGTTGGCGAGTACAGAATGTGTGTGGTCTATTTTGTTTGTCGTCCTCAAAGCTGTGGGATTTGAAACTGAGGTATCGAGATCTTTCAGTTGTAATGACTAGTTATTTACCCGAGCACTGACTCGCTTGTATTCCTTTGCCACTATGCTCCAATTCAACCCTAGTGCCAACGATCGAGACGTTTCGTTTGGATCACGGTTTGTGTGATCTGTTTTTGTTTTTACTTTATATAGCTTGACTTGTATTGTATTGCTGGACAGATTTGTATCCTATGCATCAATGTCTGTAAGAAAAAAAAACCTTCACAAACTACAATTTTACAGAATGAAATCTTTTCTTTGTCCTTCGCAGGACCTGCTTTGTATTAAATTTGCATGATCTCTTTGCAAAGTAGATTTGACTTTTGGCCGTAGAAACTTGACAATACACACCTTTAGAAAGAGAAAGGGGCAATAGCTGGAAACTGGGGTAAAAACAAACCTTTTTTATGTTTTGGCACTGAATATTACTTTTGCTGCATTCCTTCATCCATTTAATTTTTCCAATACTTCACATTTCAATAACTATCAGTTGTTAGTAATATATTTTTGCTATTTATGCCTATTATTACGTATAAAATTTGGTCTCATGGCATTAAATTGAGAAAATGTATCGTTTCACTTTGACTGTTGACTAAGACAATGCATAATTTAGATCATTTTAACGTTTTTTGGAGGGGCGTGGGGTAAGTTAATTGTCACCAGTTTGTATCTGTGTTTGTTGCCATTCTTCTCGTATTCACAAATAACCACATCATACCTTTGTGTAACAAATGCATGTCGGCGTATTTGTCTTGGTATTGTGAAAAAGTTATAACAACAATTACCAAAAAGGCTAAAAATATTTCTTTGCAACATCCCAAATGTGGACTATGTGTTAAAAATAGCATGTTGAACATATTGAGGTGTCAAATTGATTTTTTTTCTATCCCAGTTTCCAGGCTTGCCCTTGCTTGACCAAACACTCGGTGAATTGGTGTTAGGTCTTCTTTGAATTGGAGCTTTTGAACACAAAGTGAATCCGTCTCACAGGGTAGCAATGACCTCTGCATAACGCTAATTCCCAGTGTTACAATGCACGCCGCTGCCTTGGCTAAATGTCGAACTGCCAGTTCTGTTGAGCAAGTTTGGCTATTTGTACAAACCATACCAAAAGACAGATTTATCTTTGCATGCGTTTCCAATATTTGACATAATGTCATTAAAAGAGGTTAGGGGCCAATGATTTTACCCTCTTTTATTTGAAGTAGATTTTGAATACCAGCTTGTGAATTTCAATGTGTGATTTCTTTTTTTGTTTTTTGCTTTTCTCTTCTCTCCCAAATAGAATTTCAATTAGCTGTGGACTAAACAACTGTTTTGTTTTGGGGGTTTTTGTATAGATTTTGCAAATCTCTTGCTGCCTCATGGTATCCCGATGACCGCTTTGGTTTGAACATGTTTTAAAACCGCGTTTCCGTCAAAATGTGGCTATGCTGAGCTTTTTTTTGTTGTCGTTGTTTTTCCCGAAGATTACTTTCACCAAGTAAGCTATTCATGGGAGATCCTAAAAGGCAGCTCCCATGAACAGCGCAGTCCCTCCGACTTTTAACACAACGCAAGTCACATTTTTGACGTAGCTTAGCTTATTTTCTGTGTAGCCATTGGCGCATAATATCAACATATCAGCCACAGATGATGTCAAATTTGGATTTCCATGTACAAATTACATATCAGTTCGGTAAATGCTGCAAAAGTATAAGCCTATTGTGTTTAAGGTGAATACATAATTAGAACCAATGTGTGAGGCAAACATGCTTCGGACGTATTTAGCATGTGATGCTAACAGTCGACTAAAATCCATTCCAATATTTTCCCTCAAAAAATTACAGTTTTTTTTTCTTTACATTTTAATTGGTTGTAAATATGTATTTTGGATGTATGTCGCAATGTTTGTTTTTAAATTGATTAATTTATTTAATGCCTATATATTGTTTTTACATGTCTTGATTTTGTTTTACTAACTGGAAACATGTCAAAGGGTTGGTTAAAAACCATTTTGACCTTGTATTAATTTCTATCTTCATTTATGATTTGCTGTTTCAGCTTTGGGTGATGGTTTTTCAAAGGTAAAAAAAACAACAAAAAAAAAAAAGAAATACGTAGTATTCATTTATTTGTATTTTCCAATGTGTAACTTTATGTTCAAATGTGTTGTATTTTGATGAGATGTGTCGTGGTCACTGCTTGTACATTTTTTTTTTATTCAGTTTCCAAATCATGACAAAAATATGAAGGTTTTGGCTAAAGTTAGTACTTTGGTCGTTGCTAGCATGTTAGTTCGAAAAAAGGGGAAGAAGTCTCAAACTGTTGAAACTAAGCTATCTAAATCACTCCTATTGGTGTCACAGGATAAAACTATTAAGGTGGAAACGAGCAAAATTGATTTTAATTGAAGTAAACTCAAAACTAAATATGCTACACATCTAGCTAGGAACATATTTTAAGCACAATAGCTAGCTAGCTTGATGAAATCGTTGAGTGGAGTATGTGAGCTAAATCTTTTAAATCAAGGATTTAAGCAACAAAAATAACAAATGCTAACAAAGTTGTCCTTTTATTACCCTTTTCTATTACTTACAAATTACTAGTTCATTTGTTAACACCATAACTTTTTAATGTGCTGTTCAGGGTGTTTTTTTCATTTGCTGCTTTATGGCTCAAGGTAGATAGATGTTAGTGACTAGTCGAAGGGTGTGTGTTTGAGGTGAAGAGGAGGTAGCTGTAAGCCGAAATGAGTCGAGTAAGTAGTTAGAGTTGTGGGGAAAAAATATTTAAGATGTAAGCTGAGCAACATGTGAATATTTGTAACATAAAAGACATCAATTTGTGCAAATATTTACAGTTGGCACTATGAAGTGAAAATGTCACAATGCAATCTTTGTAGATGTATAATTTATTTCTTAACCCGACTGTCACTGTAATAAGTGCTGGTTGAAGCTGCACAGTAACAAACTAGTGTTGTTTTTTTTTTCTTTTCTTTTCAAAGCAGTATTATTAAATATCGTATTACCTGCACACGTTGCAGGCAGCTGGGCTGAACGGACGTAGACGCACGTGGCCGACATTTACCAAATGTCCCGTTGTTCATGGGAAACGGTCTCGGTTTCCGGTCAGTCTGTGGCTGAAGCTGAGAGGCGCGAGGGCGTGCGTTTTTGCGACAGAGTAAGAAGAAGCTACTTTGAAGTGATGTAGTTTAGCGCTTTTCGTTTTAAGCTCGTCGTTGTGTCGGGCTCGGAGGGTTCACGTAAGGCTGGAAACATTCCTGTGGCGGGATTTAGGGCTTTGACGGCAGCCTTACTGTTTTTAAAAATGTGAGTTTTTGTGTGCGGACAGAACCCCTGTGACAGCATCACTTATGTGTATTTTTGTTGTACTCGAGAAAATGAGAAATGTTTTGGGTTGAGCAAGGTTTTTTTTTTTTTTAATCTCTATAATCTCATTCAGTTTGCTTATTTCTCTCGTTTCCTGCTTGCCCGTTTCGTGAATTGCGTCGCCCTCAAATGACGTAGTAAGCGGCAGTCCGTCTTGTCCTCTCATGTTAGTTAGAACTGAACATTCCTAAAAATAAAAGGTAGCCCCGTAGACGTGCTGCTGTTCAACGTCGTACACAACTGACTTGGTTTGAGACAATAAAATGACCCAGCTCTTTCCCAGCGTTATTAACACAGGTGTGCTTAATTTCCAAGCTAACGAGGAGCGATACTGCGTTAGTTATTCGTTCACGTTCCGCTTACATAACCGCGTTAGACGCCATCGGCTCGATGCTGTTACAAGTTTTCTGTTAGAGTGCCCTCTGCTGGGGGTGAGAAGTACTTCAGGATCATGTTGCAGTGATCGTATTAGATAAGAGGGGAAAAATAATCATGTGGCTTTTTCTTTTCTTTTTTTTGTCATGATTTATGAGACTGAACTGAAATTATGCCATTTTTGTCATTGTGCTAAAATGAATATAAATATTATATATTAAAATATATTTGCTAACCAAAGTTGTTCCTGGTGGATCTTTTATTATTAATGTAGCTGAGAGGATACTGTACGTACAGAAAGCTGAGTACAGTAGAAACCTGATGAAATGAGACCTCCAAAGTTTCATTAGGATTGACTTGCATTGAGAAAAATATTTATTAGTAAAGGTCTATATTGTTTCACAGATGTTGCATCAATTTCCCCAGTCCAAAATTCATGACATGAACACCACAACCTTTTAAACCAGTCAAGTAAAGTTGCACATGTCGGTAACAACAGCATTCACAGTGATTTACTATGTTATATTTATGGTGTAGCCAATTGTGAAACAAGCACATCTTTGTTAAATGCAATCAAAATCACCAATAGTATATAAAATGCATTTAAGATATATTGCTCTATGTTACAGATGCTTTTAATCAAATTGAACTCTAAAGTTGGGTTTCAGCTTTGGTTAGTAGGAGCTCAGTATGTCAGCAGTTTTGCAGTTTTCTTGAAGTTCCAGATTTTTGGTGCATAGAAACTGAACGCAAATATGGACTTGACATCTTGCATCGATTATAACATAAAATAAAAACATCGTTATATTGGTGTTCTATCATTACAGGAACACAAAACTACATGAATCGATGCAGAACGACAATTTAGACAACAGGTTTAGTTGTTCATTTTTTGTCTTGTGTATTTAGTCCAGTGTTAGTTCTTCCTCTTTGGTTTCCCTCAGTTCACTTCCTCTCCCCTCGCAGCTGTTCCACATTCCCCTTGCAAAGTTACCTTTGCTCGTTTTAGCCATTGTCAAGGTTACGTTCTTTTATTTTGGTAACTTTCTTGTCAAGGTATCTATGGTAACTGAATGCAGTTCTACCTGAAAAGGTTAACCGCAATAAACAGAAAAGTTTAGCAGAAAAACAGGCAGAAGGATAAATATCAATTAAATTGCAGCTTCAGTCGACAAGGGAACAAGGTCAGTAACTGGGCTTGAAGTTTGTTTGAGAACCTGAAAATATTTATGGAAAAATCTGTGATTGATTGCATTAATGACAGGAATTGTACTGATATGAGTTGGTGAATGATAAGGATGGCTTTAACACATCATCTGCTCTGACCTCGTAAAAATTGACTGGATGCCACAATCATGATTAACTCAACTGGATCCAACGTCATAGTCAAGATTCTCCCAGATTCATGGCCTTCGTCCATGAATCCACGAAGGCCGGGTGTCTGCAGCTTTAGATCCGAGTCTGGGGAATGTTTTGAAGGCGGAGCTGAATCCTGACGGGTTGGGGAAAATCCGAGATAAGGCTGCATGAACTGAGGAAGGTTTCCTCTTTAAGTGAAACAAAAGAGAAAGTGGAAAAAAACAACTGCGTGTCAGATTCAGATTGATATTTACCTCCCTCCCCCCCCCAAAAATAAAATCTTTAAAATCTTGAACGAAAAAGAGTCAGACTGACTGAAGTTAATCCATCCTGAACTCTCACCAGACAATGATGTAAATCTAGATTTTGAATTCGGGCACAGAGTTGTCCTTAATTGTTTACATCATGGAGCGCTACGGCATCTCTATAGTGATGTCTTAGACCAGAGTTCCCGAAATCTATTCCTCGAGGGTTGGGCGTTCCCCTGGCCCAACACGCCTGAATCAAATGGCTTAGTTACATCCTCAGTGTTGGTCAAGTTCTCCTGCTAATGACCTTATTATCGGACTCAGGTGTGTTAATGCTGAGACACAGGAGACCAGCCCTCATGAAGAAAAAAATAACCGGCCAAAATAGATCACATTACACCCGTCATTACCGACTCTCTACTTCTCAATGAACAGAATTAAAAAACCGAAAACTTAAAAAAAACAATTGTAAAGCCCTGAATGGCCTTGAGTCTAAAAACATTTCAGCTGCTCAACTCCCAAAGCATTAAGAGGCTTTTCCGCACATGCGCTATCTCCCCCAAAAATGTACTATACAGTCATAATTTTTATATACTTGAGTATTGTGTCACAGAAATGCCCAAATAGTAGTGGAATTCATTGTACGAGCTTATTATTTTCATATAAAGTGCATCACAATACATGCATTATAGAAACAAATGGAGAGAAAAAGAGAACAGAAAAAGCATTTGCCGCCCCCTGCTCCCTCAAAATTGCTGCCCTGGGCTACTGCCCCCGTCGGCCGGGACTCGGACAACGAATGAATTCATACAAGCGGTAATGTCTTTATATGTGTCCTATGAGGGACACGGCAATACTTTTCTGCCATACACACCAATGAAAAACAAAACACTCCCTGTTAGCAAAAGAGGCGCAATAATTTGATTAGCAAATATGCTGCATTCAAAGCATGTAGGAACAAATCTAACTGACTCACTAACCTGTGCCACTTGTTTTTGTTCATTATGGGTTTCACTAGAAATGAAAGTGGAACAATTCGTTTGTGCTTTTTGTTTCTTTTGTAAAGGAGCCCAGTTTTGCAATATAAATCTTACAGCTTTCCGAACATAGCGTGGAGGTGATTCAATTGTTTTGCTGATTTCATTTTCTATTTTTCCTCTGAAATGACCGTCATCAGAGTGGCTGACACTCCCTTTGCATACCAGCCGTGTCAGACTCGCAGCAGTACCTTCCCCAAGTGGGTTCTGGTTTCATTTCTGCTCTGCTGTCAGAGGGAAGAGGCATCGACTTCACGGAGGCAGACAGAGGCAGACACTCAGAAAAGGTAAGAACAACTTGATACATTTTCACATCTTCTAAAAGCAACCTCTGATTATGTCTAATGAGCCTGGCACCAGAGAGTATATTACATTTATCCATTTAAAAGGCTTATCTTGGCAACAGATCAGTGCAGGATTTAACTCGGGATTATGTAGTTTGGCAGTAATCAGATGAAAGAGTGTTAGACTTAAAGCATCAAAGGCCCAACCGCTTTTATCTGATGTAGTTGGACTGGACTCTCTTTACTTCACGAGATTTTACTACATATAACCCTTTGTTTGGTGTGTGGTATACCTTTATTTATTTTTTTATTGTAATCTGGGCTTTGAGCCAAAAGAAATGCAATCCAAAATTCTAGTTCAATAAAAAAAAAAAGCAGGCTAAATGGAGTCATAGGAAAAGAAAGTCAAACATTTACATCTTCTAGTATTATCAACACAAAACATAAAGGTTCTAGTTTTTACCAGGATTCAAAATGATCTAAAGCCAACCCACCAGGGACGAAATCCACAGATTAAAAATATCAATTATAGCCTAAGATCTGTTCCAGACAGAAAGTCTGCTAGCTTAAACAGCTAGCTTGAACAACTAGCAGACACTCAGCTAAGAAAAGCATCCGTCCATGCACTGCTTGACCGCTTCTCCCTGCAGGGCTTTGGGGGTAGCTGGTGCGTGTCTCCAGCGGTCATTGGGTTTCAGGTGGGTTCAGTTCTGGACAGATGACCAGTCCACCACAGGGCAACACAGAGACACAGGAGACCAATGAAGCTAACCGTCATGTCTTTAGAGACAGTAGAGGAAGCTGGAGGACCCAGAGAGAACACCACAAAGTTATTGCTATAATGCAGCAGCGCCACCTGCTGAGTCACCATGCAGTTCATCGAAGTAAAGCATAACATCTAAAGTTTAGGAGAAGGATACTTTATTGGAAGATTGGTGATCGGCTGAGAACCCCACTGTTGACAACTCAGCGACTTTTTATTTTTATTTTTATATATTTAGCAACATTTCAAACAAAAACAAATCTGTATCAGCCAAAATCAGCTCAGGCTTTTTACAACTCAGCGTCGAGGAGACACTTTCTGTGAATTGGCATGGTATCAACAAACTGAATTTAATAGAAAAGTTCCCTGTAAAAGACCATTGATGTGTGTGGCCTGCAGACAGAGCTCTTTGTGAGCACGTATTATGAAATCGTAAAGGTTTGTCGAGGTATTTTTCAGTTTTTATGAGTCATGGCTTCCTGTCGATCTCATGTTTGTTGAAAAGTCATTTCAGTCCAGAACTGGAGGAACATTTGGGCCTTCAAACTTGAATAATGTACTCTTTACTATATTATTTTCTCTTATGTATGTAAGAAAACCACATAAAGCACCTGATAATTTAACTAGTGAAGTTCAAGAACCTTTTCTTCATGATGTTTTGGTTTTTGTATGGAGAACATTTCTGCTGAACACTTGAAATTTGCGAGTGCAAAACTTTGTCCTCTGGTCACCATTTGTTTTACAAGATCCTTTGTTCCTGGGATTCTATCAGAGTTGATTTTATATGTTATGTTAGTACCGTCAGATATGACACAGCTATTTAAACAAACAGTAAAGTTAATTATCGACTTCTAGCTCTATGGAGCAATTCCTCCAAGGTCTTAAAAGAGACGATATTAAAGAAAATGGGATGTATTTTCCTTGACCTTCGACACCCAAAAATGAGAACAAAGTAGAAATTAGATCAAGAGGGTTGCTCAAACTAGCAAGATTGAACAGAGACATTTTAGAGACGCAACTTATATCTGATATTCTCTCTCGGCCATGCCAGCTGCTTTATGACAAGAAATGAACATGTCAACATAAAAACACTTTGGTACATAAGCATAAATTGGTATTTTTATTTCTTAAGTGACGGATGTTACATTTGATTCATTTTGAAAATCATAGACATCCTTTAGTTGTGTTTTTGGATGGTGAATTAAAGGTCTAACTGTTAAAAGGCACCTGGCGATAAATACGAACAAATCGATAATCATCGATTATGTTCACGTTGCATTTCAGCCCAAAAACTAAACGGTCCAGTGAATCAGACATAGATGTGATCTACATGTTGTGGATTGGATGACAAAATGTTTATTTGTGACTGCAGAGTCTCTCCGCCTCATTCATTAATTATTTAATCCTAAATGGGTTGGGCAGAAACGTTCCTCCAATTCAAAAGTGGGGCAGCTATTCGATTCCCTGATTAGAGTAATAGGGTACCAGAGCTCATGTTAGCTTCCATACAGTCTGGAAGCTATATATATATATATATATATATATATATATATATATATATATATATATATATATATATATATATATATATATATATATATATATATATTAACAGTTGTATAATTGTGTTTAATTTCTTTACTTTGTTAGCATTCAGTAAAATACATTATGTTAAATAATTCAGGATCTGCCAGTATTCAGTTTTATTCATTTTGAATATGCTTCTAAGGTTTTGTACACAGATAGCCCGGTTTTTATTAAAAAAAATATGTCCGTCACATTGATTTGAAGTGTTGGAAAGTTTTCTCAAATCTTCATTTTGGTGACATAAGTAATCATTTTTAGTGATATAAATCAGTTTGGATGTGACTGAAACATAAAAATGCATTATTTCCCCCAGATCTCTGGCTATGTGTGGACTGGGCCTGAGGAAGAAACAAAGTTCCTATTGAGATCAGGTGAAATATAACAAAAGCAATATCTGCTTTAAGGCTGTTTTGTTTTGCAGTTTCACAAATCTTGCATGTCTCTCATCTACAGGTGAACCAGGCAAAAATGTCCAGAAAAACAGCACTGCCCACGTCTGTAGGCAAAACACTTTTTTCGGAAGAAATCAGAGATTACTTCACTGTTCTGGATGTCATTTACGCAGATCAGTTTGAAGAAGAGTCCATAGACCGAGAAACTGCTGAACAAGCAGAAGAGAAGTTTCTCAGAGGAGCAACACCTGAATGGTTAAACTTTCACATTGGTGATCTCGCGGGCATGGGATCGGGATCTGCATTCATCAAAAGAGACGGGTATAAAAGACTTGTGCAGCAGATTCACAAGCGGAGAAACTACATCGGAACACCAACAGTTAAACTGCTTCACCAGCAAGGATGTGGGGGAACCACACTGGCCATGCAAGTGCTTTGGGACATGAGAAAAACCCTCAGATGTGCTGTCTTAATGGGCTCCCCTCTGGAGTGCACAAAGATCGCAAAGGAAGTTGTCCACCTTTTCACAGGAGGCAGCAAGGATGACCTCAACACGGTGCTGCTCTTGATAAACGAAGAGTTTGTCTTGGAGCACCTTCAGGACAGCATCATGGCAGAGATCGAAGAACAGCAGATCGACGTCGATATTCCCGTGGTAATTTTATTCATCTGCGTGAGAAGTGACCACGCCGTCCTCAAAGCTGAACACTACAGAAAGCAAGAGGGGTTCAAGAAGGGTCACGACACTGACTACGTCATCCTCAAAAGAACCCTCTCAGACGCCGAGAAGGAAGAACTGGATACCAAAGAGGAAGAGCTCACCCAAAAATATGGAGCCAAAGTCTCCCAGTTCCATGGTTTCAACATACTACACAGTAATTTCTCACGGGATTATGTCCAAGAAGCATGTGCGGTCCTTAACACAGTTGAAAGGAAAAGGAAACCCTTGAAGACCCAACTTTTGTCCTTCCTGTGCTTGCTGAATGCCTATGTACCAGGCTCCTACCTACTAGAGTCTGACTGCTTAGACTTCCTCAGACATGACAACTCCCTGCAGGGCGACCTTTCACTGGTGACCCTTATGCAGCCTTTCAGTCATCTCATCGTCTCTTTCCATCATGACAAAAGGTGTGAGAAAAGAATCCGGATGGCTCATCCAATGATTGCAAAGTACTGCACTGAGCTACTTTCTATTGCAGGAGTGGCCAGAAGTGACACGGCAAGAAACTTCTTGCACCGATTTTGTCCAGATGAGGTTTCTCCATGTCTGCTTGGCTTCATCAAGGACTTACTGACAAAACGAGAGCACAAAAAGGATGGGTCGATCGAAGATTCGGACATGGAGAAATTTTCGACTCTGATTTTACACATTAACGAGATAGAAGACAAAAACCAGAGTGCGTCAGTTCTCAAGGTGGCATCAAAGAAGTTTGACAAGAACTCTTTGTTCCCCCAGGCACTTGCGAGGCTTTGTTATGGAGAACTTGAAGACTTCAAAGAGGCTGAATTTTGGGCAAAAAAGGCAATAGAACGAGACCCCAAAAAATCCTTCATTGCTGACACTTTGGGCCAAGTTCATAAAAACCATCTGAAGAACAAAAGGCTTTCAGTTGAGCCAAGAGAACTGCTGCAGTTGGCCCAGACGGCCATTGAAGCTTTTGAGCATGAAGAAAAACTTGCAGAAGAAGAACACAGAAAAAGTTTGACAGAAGATGAGAAATCTAAAGTCCTGTGGGGTTTAAACACCACGGGGCAATTCGGTTTCCTTCAGGTCTGTAACATTCTCTTTGACCTTCTCGTCATCCAAAATGAGACTTGGAAGGAAGTGCTTACAAAGAATGTGCCGATGGGCTCAGTCCTGGAATCACTTGGGGATAACAAACTCTTCAGGTTCAGGGACCTCATAGAGAATCTCCGGGAGAAAGTCGAGAAAAAAATGGAATTCTTTGACAACTTTCTCATTTATTCACAGTCTATCCTGAAAAAAGACAAAGCTTACGTTTCTAGAGAAGTTTCGGCGTGCTACAAAAAGTATGTTGGAGACTCTGTCCCCGAACACAATGACAAACTCCAGCAGACTTTCCAGAAACTGAAACAGAAACTGGCCTTCACCTCTGCTGGGGTCCTCTCATGTCAAGACCGAACATGCACCTCACACATTGAATATATCATAGAGTGGTGGAGGGAAATTTCACAAGGAACAAATTCCACCACCGACGCTTTTGTCAACTACATACTTGCGCAGATCATGCTTTCAAACAAAAACAAGGCTGTATCCACTCCTGATTATAAAAATGCTTTGAAACTAAAAAAGCCACCGTCCTCTGTCACACAAGCAGAGTATCACCTCCTATCTCTGCTTCTGTCTTGGCCTACAAATGATGAAGACAAACCAGTCCCCCACCTCTATCAGTTAATAAAAAATTTAAGTCATGCTTATGAGCGAGAATACAAGACGATGTTTCGATCAAGATACCTCCGGCCTCTGTTTTTTCTCGGACCAGGCACAAGCCTGAAGAGGTTTGTTCACCGACGGGTTCTTGAGATCTCATGGACCAAAGACGCGCTACAAGAGTCGAACACAAACTGGAAGAACGAGAGCATCTTCACAGAAGACATGGTTAAAGAACAGCTTCTCAAAGTTGAAGGAGTGGTGCGAAATTACAGAGTCTATGTGAGATTCAGAGGCACTGAAGTCGAGGTGGATGCAAACCGAAAGGACTGCCTCTGTAGATCAGGTCACGTCTCCTTCTACCTGGGATTTACCATCAAAGGTCCAATAGCCTTCAGCATTCAGAGAAAATTACTGGCCACTGAGGGTGAGAAAACTATTTACTACAAAAAAAAAAATAAATACTACATATTTTTTTACATTATAGTATATATAGTTCTGAGTTTTCTCTTGTTCTTCATTTTAGGGGACCAAAAAATAAAAACCCCTGACCACGCAGAAGGTAAGGAAATATCATTTGTCCTGACTGTAACTGCTATTTCAAGTGCAGTTGTGATGCTAAGACTGCAGCAATCACTAACATTTGCTCTCCTTCTGAACAAGTGCTGATGTTGTTGTATAATTGCAGCAAGCAGCAATGGAATGACTGAAACGGGTGCTGATGTGGCCTAGTTAAAGACCAAAGCCGAGACCGAGAGGACTGCTGTGGGGACAAAGTCCGAGATCCTTCGGATAAATGGACATGAAGTCAGGAAGAAGAGCGTGAAAACATTTCTCCATTACTTTACATGACACTACAATGACGTCTCTTAAAGGTTGTTATGTAATGCACTGAGTTTTGCATCGTTTGTGATTTTAGACTTTTGTGAAAATTACACTACGTGACATGATTTAGCTTACATAAAAAAAACTTTACTAATTTTTCTTAAATTATTTTTTTTATCACCATAGAGTAAAAAGGGACACTCGCTTTTTATTTTGTCTTGAGTTTACTTCCTGTACACAACTACCATTTTATCAGATGTTCAGTATTAATTCATTTTTTGTGGTTTTTTTTATTTTGTAAAATTTGTTTTGCTTGTTTAAAATTGTTTTTCACACAAAGTAAAATAAAAAATCTCTCTCTATATATATATAAGAATGAAAGCAGGCATCTTAATCATTTAAACAGTGTTCATTTCTTCTGTGTAAAGGGAAAGTTTTCACCAGAGCAGCAGGTCAGATTTGTTGCTACCGTTTCCGCTCATTCAAACTTAAGATTCATTTCCGCTGAGAAGCGAGCGAATTAAAAACACTCATTTAATGTGTGCTGTGGCCTGAGTGCCTTTAAAATGTGATGGAGTTCACTAATAAAAGTCTAAAAGATACGATGCTTGATAAAACAGCATGTCACTTAAACATAACATCAACCCTTGAGTCACAGAAATGTTTCAAAGCAGGTCGTTTGCTAGCAGAATAAAACTCAACCCAAGTTGGCGGATTTTGCTGCGTTACAATCAAAGACAGTACAAACTGTGAACCTGGCTTGATGTTTTCCACACTGAATGGGGATCTCTACAGCATTAACAGCTTAAAAGTTTTTTTTTTGTTTTTAACCAGCCTCCAAGCAGAAGTCAGACGAACGTCGTCCAGCAAACTGACAGAGGCAACAAAGCCAGCAAGAATATATTACTTGCTCATTTGGGGTGATTTGAGTTAGCACAACGCAATGGAGATATTTGCATGCGACTCAAACTTTTACCTGACATTAAAGAGTTCTGCCACAACAAAATTTAAGACCTCTGATTAAAGTATTTTAGGCCAACATACTTATTGATTGATGTAAAGGGATTTAACCCCAAGGTGCCATTGACTAAACAGTATGACCAGAAAAAAACAACTTAAATTCCGCCAATTTAAAATGCTTGTTTCTGACTAACACATTCATATCTATTGTAAGGAAGCAAAAAACTCTAAACATTTAGATCCACATTGAACTGAAGAGAATAATAATAGGAACACATAAAACTGCAGAGTAACGTCATCTTGGTCTGTTCCCAAACCGTTTTATTTCTAAAAGACGCACAAAAAAAAACAACAACACCAAAAATACAATATTTCTCTACAGCTTCTCTGCTCATATGTATGACAATACAGATTGCAGGAACCTTGAGAGTCTCATTGGTTGATCTGAGCGATGAGCCCCTCCAGCTCTGGACGCGCCTTAAAGCGCACCTGATAATCTGCCTCTGTGTGCTGAGAGAGGGAAAAAAAAAACAGAAGTGGAACGTTACAAACTATTTTAATTTGAGAGTTGCCAAATTAATTAGTTGTCAGACTCATTGCTGTCGGTTTCTAAGACTTAAGGGAAAACTCTAAAAACAAATCTCTGCATCTCACCGTCAGAGAAGCGCAGGAAAGACTTTTACATTCATAAGAAACTGTAATGCAAATCAATAATGCAACAAATGTCTCACTTTGGTGATTCTACTTATTCAGTTTAGTTTATTTATGAAGTACCAAGTCAAATGTCATCGAAAGGCACTGTGCAGGATGTATGCAGCTACATGAAATGATATAAACAAATGAATCCCAATCATACCAACACAATGTGACATCCAGGATCAGATCTGACTCACCTCCTTCACCGAGAGCTGAACTCCCTCCGGTTGGTTCTTCAGAATGACATCCATGAAGACTTGACACAGAGAGGCGTCCAAAGTACTCAACTAAACACAGAAACGACACGTTTCATCACCTTCCACAACTTTCTCCACAATCTGACCAAACCCGCAGTTTAGGAGACTTTTAGAAAGACCTGGACGACGCGCTGGTGGGTCTTCAGGACGGCGTCCACGTATGTTTTGTTGCCTTGTTCTTGCACTAGCAACACTTCTGTGCTTTTGGTTGGCAAAGCATAGCTGTGAGTCGAGGACATAAAAGGAAAATATTACTGTGTTTATGTTTGATAGATTATTTAAGATATGCTCAACAACTTATTTGGCAGTTTAACTCATTGCCCCACATTCAGTCAATTTGTTATTGGCTGAATGTGGGGCAATTTGTCTAAAGTTGGACTTTAGACAATGATCCATATGAACTTCTGACTGAGACCGTAGCTAAACCGCAGCGTTCTCCTGCTGATCCTCACCTTTCTGCCACTTTGATGTTGAGCCGGTTGCAGAGGTTGTGGATGTACTGGGAGTAATGCTCCACCACGGTCATGTCATAACCACACACCTTCACGTTCAGAGTCCCGTACGCCGTATCGGTCGCTGAAACCAGCTCCTTTTGCTGGTTTCTGTCTTTTTTCTTCTTGGGCTGAACAAAAACACCACAAACGGCTTTGTGAAATAAAGCATGTCAGGTGTTTTATTATGAAACATGGTGTGGCTTAAGAAGATCCAATAACTAGATTTGGTCTAAAAGGTGTAAAAGGTGCTGAAACACAGATTTCCTGTAAATTAAGGCTACAAACCCACCTATTGAGAGTAGCCTTTGATTAGTAGTGAAAACATTGATCAACATATTTGATTACATTTGACACAGCCATGAATTTGTGACTGATGTTTTTATGATTCCTTGATGCTGTAAATTGCTACACAAATAAGCTTGACTTTTAGGTCGGACTTGGAGTTGATACAGGTTGATATGAGAAGACATTAATCCTAATGTCTACGCAATGACTGTAGACCATGTGGACACAAAGAAAACCTAATGAATGCTAAAACACAGTATATGATTGCATTTTAATACTTTAAGACTTTGTATCAAAGCAGGGTTTTGGAAACTCACTGCCTGTTTGGGTAACAAATGCCTCCACCTTCCAATCCCGTGAGTCGGCATGTCTCTGTACCGTCTCTCATTTATTGACGCGGTGCCTGAAACAGAACAAAACCGAAAACTCAGAAACACATTGGCAATGAACAGCATGGAGAAGCAATGCTTCTAAGGTTCTGTACTCACACCACATCGGATGCTGAATGGATGGTGTGGCTCTGCAAAGACAACAGAATGAAAAGCAATCAACAACATGGTAACTGCTGTTGAAGTTCCAGCTTTCGACCGCCAGAGGGAGTCAGCCATTAGATCAAACGATGACATTAAACGGCAAGGTAAAGACATACCTGCATATGGACTGATTCAGGATGGATACCTGCTGTGGGAAAGTCACCTGCAGCTGGGTGTAATGAAAAACGAGGGATTTCACACACCTTATACCAACCTTAGAACTATTAGTGATATATTTAAATCTATAAACTATTTTTTTATTACAAAAAGACCAAGCGTTACATAAATGTAATCAGGACATTAAAGATGTGCCATAGAAATAGTTTTTGGTATTAAAACAGCAGAGCTCCGCTAAGTTATGACCTCTGGTTAAAAGCTAACAGCTAGCACGAAAAGCTCCCATTTAGCCTTACCTTCCGGAATATGTGGTTCATTGTGTCTCCACTGAGTTGAAAACGCACCGCGTGAGTCACAGTAAAACTGACAACCTCAACTCAACCACCAAAAACACAAAAAAATACTTCTAAACACGCATTTTTACTACGCTTGAGGAAAACGGAAGCACACACAGGAAGTCGGCACGTCGGATTTTCGGTCCGTCGAATAGAGTAGTGACAAGTGTTCCGTTGTGGTACGTTCCTCCGTCAGTGTTTCTCCATAGACGGGAATTCATACGAATAATAACACGTGTTCATGCCGGTGGTGTTTCTCCACCTTCTCCTCATTCAAATCAAACCTTCAAAATGTATATAAATATCTCTTACATAATTATTTTCTTGAATAATCACAAGTTACGAATTTCTTATCCAAGCCTTCCGGAAACACCATCATTCATCAAATTAAGTTAGAAAATGTCAGTTCAGTCTTATTTGAAGGCTTTGTCAAAGCAAAACCAGATATGGTTAATCTCAGCACGGATTCTTGGTGAAATATTTTTCTTCTGAAAGGAATCAACTCATCAATCTCCCTGATGACTGGAAAACAATATTTCTGTAGACAGACATGTTGGGGTTTTGTTAGCCTTAGGTCAAAATGAATAAGAAGCCACACTTTATTCATTTATTTGTGTGTAAGTGATCTAAATGACTTCCCCTTTTTAAGTGAATTACTGTGTTTAATGACTGATTTATTGCAACACACTTATAGTGCTGAGTTGCTCCTGACCATCAAACTGGACAGACAGATCCTAATAAATATTTAATAATGTCCTAAATAAAACATATGTTCTCATTCAGTTATTGACAGAGTAAGCTGATGTTTTCTGATTACAATCTTTTGTTAGCTGCTTGCATTTGAAAAAAAAAAGACATTTCTGATGCTCTGTGTCAGACAAACAAGATAATTTGAAATACTCATTCATGACTTTATTAAGAATATGCACATCTGATCTTATTTTGGCCCCTTACAATCACAATCAGTGGGAAAAAAAAAAAATCAACCTTTAATACAAAGATGTTCTGTTCAGCCTGGAATATTTGAACGTTAAAGTGCAAAATTTGATACGACCTAAAACTGCTCCTTTAAGATTCATGTATGAAGTGTGCATAGAAACATTCGACAATTCTTTATATAATGCAAGCACTGCTTTTAAAGCCTTACTTTTTCCAACCATCTATGTAAACTTATCACATTGCGATATTTCCCTTCGCTGCCACACACACACTTTAACTTGTAATGCATAAAAAAAAGCACCACACACACACACAGCTTGTTCAACCAGGCTAGAGGTTCTGTGTTCACTTTTTCTTGAGAAACCAAACATGCTGACAAAGTGAACTGAAAGGAAGCAATTAAATGCTTTTTCTTCAAATGAATAAACATTAATTTCTTATCGGGCAAGTCTACCTTTCAGGGAAATATATTGAATTTAGTAAAATATTTATCAAAGTGATAGAAAATGGAGCAGTGCAGCCATGCAAAGGTTTAGTACATATTCTGTCATGGTACATTCATGTTTTTGATGTGAGCCGGATTTTTTACAAAGCACTTTGATGTAGCTTAGCGGTAGCATCACAGTTTAGCATTGGGGTGTCGGGGCAGTTAGCTTCAAGTGGACCCAGTGGGAGGAAACGTTCAAACATCTGGTCCTACCACGGCTAATCGCGTCCCTTAAACCCCTCGCTCTTCGTCATCGTCGTCGTCCTCCTCTTCCTCTGCATCCTCATTGTCTTCGTCTTCATCTTCAACCTCCTCCCCATCCTCCTCTTCCTCTCCTTCGTCATCCTCCTCCCCTTCTTCATCCTCCCATAGGCTTAACTGGTCGGCCAGGTCGTCGTGCGCTTCTTCTTCCTCTTCGTCGCTCCTCATTTCCTCTTCGCTGCTGTCCTCCAGTTCATCTTCATCGTCGTCGTCCTCATCCTCGGCCGCCTCTTCCTCGTTGTCCTCGTGTTCCTCCTCCTCCTCGTGGTCGGAAAGACTACCTGAGAGCCAGTCGGGTTCAGAGCAATGTGATTTTCTACACATTTGGAATGTACTGAACGCTTGAACAACAAAATAAAAACTCACATAAGGAGTTGATGGCAGCGACGATGTGACAAGGTAGATCGTCAAGAAATTTGCTCATTTCCTCCTCCATCCTTATTCCGAGGATCTCCGTCTCCATTTCAACGTATTCGGGATAGAACATATTTTTCCTTAGCTGTCTACGGCACCTATCATAAAGAAAATAGTTACAGTAAGGAGAAACTTGTTTCAAGTTTAACTTGAAATTCTGGTCTTTTTATTACTCTTCAAGTTTCTTGGAGAGAACTCATTTTTATCTGGAAGTCGTTTTAGAAATAAAACATGCTTACTGATATTTAATGAAGACACGCATTAACTAGTCAACGGCATAAAATGCGTCAAATCAGGTTGTGAAAGGAATAAAGAAAGTTTTTGGAGTGATGGTCAACATCCATCACCTCATTGAACTTATGAAGACCACAGCTATGAAACAGATAGTTTCTTGGATTTAGTTTGAACTTACAAAAACAATTCCATCAAATGACATCAAACAGATCAAAGTAAAGATCCCCCAATAAATTATAAAGATGAAATTGGTACTTACTGTTTTCCTGTGGTTCTATATTCCTGAAATCAAGACAAAACATTCAGAAACACAGAACATGAACAAAGTTAGACACAAGTTCTGCAAAACATAGAACATGTATTCAAATGGGTCTCAACTTTTCATTACAGTTTATTTTTTTAATTCAAAGATATTTTTTTTCTCCAAGCCAACTGCTTTAACATTAGTAGGTTCAAATATAAAATCATCACCAGCAGGTATTGCGTTGGAACAAGTTGGCGTACAAAGCTCCACTAGCAGCGATGTCTGTGAGAAGTGCTTACCTCGACAAAGCGGAAGGGGTCACTCTCCTGCACGAGGCTTTCGATGCTGCAGCGCACCTCGTCCAGGCGCGTCTGGTCCTGACAGATTTTGGAGATGTTCTTCTGGATGGCCGAGCCGTTGATCTCACACTGGGTACGAGTGAATTCTCTCAGCGTGAGGATGAAGCGCTGCACTCTGGTCTTCATCTCGTCCTCCAGGAGCGTCAGGCACTGCTCTGCGTCCTCCCTGAACTTCTGGATGAGACGGCAGAGGTACAAACCCCATTATGACTTCATGTTTGTGTTTTTGATCCAAAACATTTTGTACTGCCTTGTTGCTGAAATGCGCCATAGAAATAAACTTGATTTATTAACTGATGTAGGTTAATGGTTTGACCTGGAGAATTTCAAATTGACTGAAGCACAATAAAATAAAACAAACAAAAAAAGCTTTTATGTTGATGTTTCAGGTAGTTTAGATCACTTGGGAAATAAAATCATTCTATATGTTAAAGTCATTTATCAGAGAACATAATCCCAAACCAGGAGTGTCATGAAAGTAACAGTAAACAGGTGAGTCAAATCCAGCTCAACAGGTTGGATTGTTGTGTTTTACCTTATTTTGCCTCTCCTTCTCCTTCTGCTCCTGCAGCTTCCTCTCTGCCAGGCTGTTCTTCCTCTCCAGCCTGTACAGCTGTTTGTCCATCGCGCTCTGGAGGACAGCAATATGGAGGGATTAAATTCGAGTTATATTGCGGAAATTACTAATATGTAGCAGCAAGATGAAAATACCTACATAAAGAAGAAAAAAAAATAGAATTAAATTTGGTCTCTGGAGTTCCTAAAACATTCATGTGATGTAACTAATAAAACAATAATGGCGTCCATAAGAAATCTATATCCTGAAGTAAAAGTACATGTATTCAATGTTTGGAACAAGGCCACGTCTGCAGGGTTTTGGTGGTTTATAACTTTTTTTTTTTTTTTTAGGTGAATTTGTGACATTTCTGCTTACTGTTGTCTCCACAGCAGCAGACTGGAAGCATCTCTTCTATGTGGCATTGTTAAGAGGAAACAAAGAACAGGAAGCGGACAACAGAGAAGCTGGACAAAGTCACATGATTCTTTCATTCCCTGTTCTTATTCATTCATGTCGATTCTATATATTTGCCTTGGTTCAAGTAAATCTGAAAGAAAATTGATTCTTGCTGCTTATGATCAGATTTAGAGTTTGTCGCAGCTCTTCTATGCTTTTTTGTTTTTATTTCAAAATCTCCCTTTCCACACTCAGCCTTCTACGTTTTCTCTGGAGATTGTGTAACATCCAGTACATTTGACATCAAATTTTAAAACTCCTGGCAGGTTCTGTTGGTACCTTCAGATCCTTCATGGTGTTCTTCAGGGTCTTGATGGTGTGTCCTGAGTGTCCTCCCTCTATGGTGCAGGCGTTGCAAACACACATCTTGTCATCCATGCAATAATATCTGGAGAATAACAGAAAATATATATATTTTTTTAAAAGCACTCTGTTCAGAACAAGTAAATCTTAAAATCTGATTACTGTGGGGGGAAAAGCAACATTTCTGTATAGAAGCAAAGCAAATAAGAAAAAAAGAGAGTTGGAGAAGAAAATGTGACATTTCTTCCTCTATTCTAGATGCGTAGGTTGGGGTTTTCTGCATCGTCATTAAAAAAAATTTTTCTTGAATTGAAAAAAAATATACACAGAAATTACAAGAGAAATATTTGAACATGTTTTAACTTTACAATATCTGACTATAGTTTCCAAACGATGTTTAATTTCATAAAAGCAACCAAATGATGCAAAAACCTTTGAAATCCATTTCAACAACACCGACCAACAAAACGTGCTGCAATCATAGATAAAACATTAAGAATCGTCACATGTGACAGTATTATTCCGATGCTTATGTGGAACTATACCATAATTGAACCATTAGTAACTTTGTTCAGACTGGAAAACATGAAATCTTTCTGATTCCTTTTAATTTGTCATAAAAACATACGCAACTTGGAAAAACTGAACTTGTTTCTTGTCATCTCATTTTTTTAAAAAATGAACCAACCTGAACAGATCAGTAGTGTTTCAGAAAATAAACTCCAACCACTGCAGTAGATATGTGATTATAAAAGTGATACATTTGTCTGTTTATGTGTCAGAAGACCTGTGGGTTTAGGTGCGACAGTAACACAAAACAACTTCATTCTGGACACCGCCTGACACTCTGAGAAATTGTTTTCTCAAACAACAACATGGCACCAACTATGATATTACAGATCAATTTCTTAACAGAAAACTGAACTGTAAACATGAGAATTAAAGCAAAAGCTTCACAAACATGCAATCCTCATGTGGTTGAACCCACTTCATACCGAATCATTCATTGGACTAAAGATCATGACTCCTGCCAATTAAATACTGAAAACCTGAAACATTAAAATAGTTTCCCATGGTTACATCAGATGTAACCATGGGAAATGGCTCATTTGTTTGAGGACATTCCTGTTAAAATTAGAGCTGGGTGATATGGCTCAAAAATAAAATCACTTTTTTTTCCCCTCATACTAATTCACCTTCTTTTCGGAAAAAAAAAAAAAAAAAAGCAGTAATTATTTTTTTTAAATGTAGATTATGCCAATCACCCCTTCTGTGAGATGTACAATAAACTTTTAATTAAGAAAAATTAGTCATAATGACATTAACAGAATAAAGACCACAAGATGTCTGAAAATTTACGAGAAAAGAGCTTGGATTATTTTTTTTGTGTAGAGTTCTCACACAAAAAGATGTTACGACTATAATCTTGTATTATTTCAACTGTATTTTATTGTAACATTCACTATTCTATGTAAGGCTTATGTTAACATAAGCCTTACATTCTAAATAAAAGGAAGCTGTAAAATACGCTTGTCAATCAAGATGGTGAAAATACTAGGAAACCATTTGTAATAAAAATAAATAAATTCTCAAAAAAACAAACTATTCAAAACACCCAAAACTCAATTCAAGGATAAAATTCTGTGTTTTCCCCAAGTGTATGATAAGCCTGGCGGGCCACCAGGCTTTGCTTGGTGGCCCGCCACAAAGTGTTGTTTATCGTCACTGTCACATACAAAAACCTTGCTTAAAAATAAAGATAAACTAGGTTTATGACACATTAAACTGAGTGTGGGGGTTCCACATCAGCTGTGCTGTTCCTGCACCTTGCAAGCTGTCATTTCTAAATTATAACTGTTTGTGAAATCAATTTATTGCCCAGCTCTACTTCAAATACACTCTTTTTGTTTTATGATTAGAAGGGATTAGTTTTTTTTGCCGTTTCATTATAAAATTAAGAACTTAAAGAAGAAGAGAGCATCAACTAACACCTGACTCCTACCTGTAGACTTCGTCATGATCCATGCACTTCCTCTTCCAGAAGTCCAGCATTGGGTCTGCGAGAACATGCTCCCGAAACGCCGGCAGCTCCAGGTGCGGCTTCAGGTGCTCCTGGCACATGGACACCTCGCACTTCAGGCATGTCTTGACCGCCAGTGTTGACGAAGCGGCGTCCTCCTTGTCTTTGCCTTCCTGAGAAAGACAAGCACTAGTAGAGGACTTGTCCCCATAGGAGCCAAATCCTGAGGCGCCGGTGGCTGCTGAGGGACAGTAGTCGCACTGAACGGCAAAGATGGTCTTGGCTAGCTGTGCTATGGAGAACGAAAGCGGCTCCTGGCACTTTAAAGCGGAGGCGGTCGCCGTCGTGGCCCTCCGCCTGCGGAGGTAGTCGTCGGCGATGTTGGCTAGCTTGAAGTTTTTCTGGAAGTTGGTGCTGCTCTGGTGGTTTTCCCGGCACTCCGGACAGCGGACGCGGCCGCGCTCCTGCCGTCTCAGCCGGTCGAGGCAGATCTTGCAGAAGTTGTGTCCGCAAGGGAGCAGGTGGGGGTCCCGGTATACTTCAAGGCACACCGGGCAGGTGAGCTCGTCCTGCAGGACGCTGCACTGCTCCGAGTGGGCAGAGGCCATGGCGCGTTTCAGGCAGCAGACCCAGAGGACAGACACCTGCAGGCAGAGGAAGGAGTCGGATGAGGGAAGAGTTCAAAGACTCAGAAGAAGTGGAGAGTGGAATTCAGATCATGGAGATCTTGGATTGCAATGACCTACTCTGGAAAGTCATTGCAATCAAAAGGCATTGTGATTTTTTTTTTTTACCTTTTACTCTTGATTTTTACATTTTTCTTTTAAGATTTCCCTGAAGATATCGTCAACTCCACCAGCTCTCTAAAGCAAGTAACTCTTTGAGGAAACGTGGATGAGACGAGTTACCTTTAAGATTCCGTATGGGATGACAAAGTATTTTTGAACTGAAAGTTATTGAATACCTGCCTCGTCTTGCTTCAGTGAGCAAAGTGTCTGCTGATTTCTCAATGCCTTCCAAACTCCAAGAACTTTTTTAGCAAGGAAAAACAATCCAACTACACATAGTTTCCAAAAACCTGCTGATTCTACCATAAATAGAGTGAGTATATTATAGTTGGGTGGGTTGGTGATTTAATGGAATTAAAACAACATTTAACTCTCCAGTCAGAGATTCTGCAGCAGCCATTTTGCTTGATTTGGAGTCAGTGTTTCAGGATTTCCTGTTGATATTACAAACAATCCCAGGATTTCTCTTCCATTATTTATTTTTTTTTTATTCCTGTGGATGACAGAGCCTTGGTTTCATCTTAAACTTTTGGTCCACTGAAACAGTGTTTAATACCCATCTGCCCAAAGAAAACCAGCCACATACTTTATCGATTTTAAGCATTTTTCTACCACTTTGTGGATAAAGCTACATTTTAACCACCAGGAGATGAACCATGAAATGACAAGTGATCAGCTGGGATTTCAAAATTTAATAAACTTAAATAAATAATAATAATAATGAGAATTTAGGTTAATAATTTATTTGCGCAATTAAACATAGTGGTAAGATTTCCTTTGCTTTAAAATAAATGGATGCAGTCATAAATCTGAGTTTAAGCTTAAGTTTTAGTTGTTCATCCAAAAAAAAATTAATGTAAGTTTCTTTGAAAAAAAAATAAAACATGATCAAATAAATCCTGTTTTTAACCTTTATTTTGCAGTCAGCTAAGATGGCTTTAGTGTAAACAGCCTATGACCTGGAGATAAGCTGCAGGTTGTTTTTCACTGAAGCTAAAAAACCTGATTGGTGTTCTCTGGCACATTTCTGCATAAGTTGGTGATTCTCCACCTGGCAACGCAGGCCAGTCGAAACCAACCCGTTAAACGTGTCAAATTGTAGTCGTAACGAGCCTGTTCAGAGTCAACCGATAATTAGCCAACTCTGCACCTGCTCCACTAATCTCCATTAGAGCCGCTGTTGAGACCGAGGTAAGCTAAAGCAAAACAAGTCAAAAACAAGCATTCCCGACTCCATACCTTTACAACGTCGGTGGTTTATGCAGCCTGGCTTACCTTTAAGTTTAAGGCTGAACTCCCGGTTTCCAGAGCGACAAATGTATTTTTGTCGGTGAGGCTAACGTCTGAAATCTGAAAGCCGCGGCTCACCTGTCGTGCTGTGGCTAACACGTTAACGCCAAAACTCGATTCTTTTCCCCTTCCCTCTCACAAAAAGTCCCCGAACACTACGGTATTATCCCAGTAACAGCTCCGGTCACTGGATGGTCGGCTCTCCCATCTGGAGTTTTCGGTATTTAACGGGAAACGGGCGAGTCCACGCGAACACCTGCACACAGACAAACGGACGGACATCGAACTGAAACTAAAGCAAAGCAGAGGACAGGGTGATGCGGGGAATAGGACGCATTCAGGGTCCCTCGGAAATCTAAGCAACGAACGGTTGATTCGTTTTTAACGTTTTTTTTCAGAAATCTAAATGTTGTGTAGGTCGTTCTTTTAACTATTTTTAAACTTAGTAATAATAATCAGAAACAAATGGCTATCTATGTTTTGCTGAGGAAGTTTAGGGTTGAGTTCTTTTCAACTGTAATATTTGCGTGTCATAATCCCCCCCCTTAATCAAGTGTTTTGAACAGACTGATAATGGTAAGAAGACAACACAACATATGACTAAAGACGTTTTTTTTAATTCAGAAGCACCTGTGTAGTTATATTTTACTTCCTTTTGGATCAAACAGCGTAATTTCCAACAGTCATAAAATGTGTCTGGTACTCAAGGTACAAAAAAGCATATTGTGTTTTATATCTCAGTGGTGTCCAAAGTCTATCCTCCAGCGCCAGCATCCTGCATGTTTTCACAAATCAGGATCAATTGATGGTTCATTAGAAGGCCTAAAAAGAACATGGACATAAGGTTGTTACTACAACCACAGGCAGAACTCAAACATGCAGGATGCAGGTGTTCCAACTATCTGTGCTACTCAGAACACCGGCCTTCAAGGACCGACACCACTAGTCTACTATCTAATTTGTGGAGTGGTTCAAAAGATTGGTCCAGGCAAGTGAAAATAACAACAAAGGTTGTCACAACAGCAAAATTTCAGCTCGACACTGAATGGCATTTTCTTCACCGTGGAAAATTTCAAAGAAAAACAACACCAGTTTTGACTGGGATATCCAAGAAACCAATTCAATTTCATTTTAAACCATCGCAGAGACTGGTTTATAATAAAACACCAGATTTAGAACATGCGAGCAGAATCTCTTCAGGGAAACGTTTGGATTGACAAATATTGAAGTACTTCAGAACTCCATAAGAGACCTTAACAGCCCAAGTAGTGTTTTCATTAGTGTTATATTCAGACTAGGAGAAGTTCTTACTAGGTAATCAAAGAGTGTATTCAGGAAAACATTGAGCAAAAATGGATTGAAGTAATGCAGAGTAGTGTTGAGACGCTTACCAAGGTCAACATATGCTTGACCTTGGTACATACACACATATGCTTCTACACATATTACATTCTCATACTTTCACACAAAGGCCTTTGTATTTGTAACAGATACAAAAACTGAATCATCTTCTCACTCCCATCTCCAAGGAAATAGAGATTTAGGTGACGCAGGACATTGGATGACCACTGGGCGTGTTCTGAGATCATAAACAACGAATCTTCCCGTTTTTATATGATATGCTGTATAGACTCTAGCCCCTTTTTCACTTCTACTCTGTGAGGGTAAGCGTCTCTTTTTTAGCACTAACAAAGAATAAAAACAGTAAAATCTTATTGCTTTGCGTTGGCTGATTTTCTGCTCCGTGTGCTTGCACGTTTTTGGTCTATCGGTTTAGAATACATGATTTCACGACAGTAGTCATTCAATTTTTGTTTAATATAAAATTAGGATACCAAAGAGGAGAAAGGCATGCTTGATTTTCCCCACCCTTCATTTTCTTTTTAAATACTTATTCAACGCTACAACACTCATTGTATTGTCAGTGTACAACATCATAATTTAAAAGTAACATTTGGTCATGATGCTGCAATTCAAGTGTCATGGACTTACTGGATGACCAGTTGCACTGACCTCAACTCCCGCAACTACTAGTTGTGTCCTTATTGGCAGAGATGTTCAAGATCACAGAAAGTAGTGGGAACATATTGCAAAAGTCAGAAAAATATGAGCAGTGCTTCACGGTTAGCACCACTAATTAGTTAATGTAGCTCTCTACTGATCATTATGAAATGGGATATATATTTACATGCACTCCAGGTACACTGTGCCCATGTAGTACCAGTCTTCCAGGTCCAGAACTCTGTTGACAGTCTTCTGCTAAATTCATTTGTAAACTTTCAGTTGAATAAAGTTTGATGTTTGCATTGAAGCTTCGGTTGTCAACTGTTCTTTAAAGAAGATGCTTTTCATAAATGCTCTTGTTTAAAAAGAAGTTTTGTTTGCTTTCCAAATGTTTTTTTTTCCAAAGTGACTTCACTGAGCAAGTATGCAACAAAGAAACCAATGAAAAATACAACTCTTACATGAACAATAAGGTTTTTAATTAAACAAATACATGCGAAAAAAATTAAGTCAATATAGTTTCGAGAACATTTTTGTTGGTATTCCTCAAGTTCTCCGTTTATGATGCAGCGAGGCATCATAATGTTTAGACTAAACAGTTTAAAGTCCCCTCACGTCCTGTGTGCTTTTTCACGAAGCCTTTTTCCATAGCTCTCATATTTATATTTATATAAAACATTTTATTTATAGCACATCAATATTATTCTCTGTTTATATCTTTGTACAACTGTTTATAAATATTTATATCCTGTGTAGCACTTCTGGATAGATGCAAACTACATTTCGTTGCTTTGTATATGTGAAAGTGCAATGACAATAAAGTTGAATTATATTCTATTCTATTCTTACTAAACTACTATAAAACTGAAACAATGTCTGAAAGTTCTTTACTAAAGAATACATTTTAGAACAAATAAACTGTTTTTTTTTGTTTTGTTTTTTTGAGTCAGCCATCTTCTGTGGCATTGGTCTGCAACCTAAATCAATCAACTTTATGAATGATTAAGGGTACTTTATGAATTTTGTTCATAAAGTATCCGTCATACTAACAGCAGCTCAAAGTACTGTACAGACAAATAAAAAAAATAATAATGATAATAATTACCTACCCCAGCCCCACATGGAAAAATACACAATGCACAAACTAGACAGAAATGATTCAATGAAGGAAATAAAAAGACAGGTTATGAGCCTGCTCTTAAAGACAGCAACATTTGCCATTTTGCTCAGGACAGTCAAATAAAACTCCTTCTGAGCCGCAAATGTCACGTGACTTTTGAAATCTCTTATTTTTAGGATGTAAAGTGTAGGTAAAAAATAAAATAGTTTTTTTTCGAAGCACATAGATTCCATCTCAATGACGAGGAAAGTATATCTAGAACATATTACTTTTAGTGTCAATCTTTGCAAATACTGGATGTGCTCATTATGAAGCCCAGCTGTGTCCTCAAACGCCTCCTCGCTCCAATGCAGACCTTGGGAACTTCACAGTTCGGAAAAGCCAGTTCACGCCTGACTCCATTGGCAAAACGGCTCCTTTAACAAAGACCACACACTCACACAATTTTCACCGAGCGAAAATGGTGAAACAACCGAGGACTGTTTCAAAGGTATTCTCCCAGAAACTTCGGCTAAGGCTTTTGCGAGAAACACGAGAAGAAGTATAATTTTTTTTGTGAAAATTACGCAAAAATAAATAAATAAATACAAGTACTTGCTGCTCTGTCCTCCCGCGGAGAAATTCAACTATCTCGTCAACAGACGCTCCTTATGACGTCAAGGCGTAACAGGAACTGAATTTACACAACTCGGCTTAAATATAAAGTTAAATAAGACCAACGAGTAAGACTAATAGCAAGACCTAATAGCCGCAAAGCACTTGGGAAAACTCCACAACAGAAAGCGCGTGAGCTAACTTTGTCACGTGACCACTGCAGAAGCTTTTATTTTGTAGTTTCTTTGTTTATTTAGCGATTATCATTTAGTTTGCCAACTGAATGCCATGTTTTGAACCCGTTTCCCAAATAATTGGACACATACCCAAAAACACAAACAACACAGTAGAGTTCGGCCCACTTTGTTTGCTTTAACTTATGCAGCACCTGTGCTAAGTAAACTAGCTCATGGGAAAATAAGAGTCCAAATAGTACATTTGTATTCCTTTCTTGAAGCAACAAAGGAGTACAAAGTTTTCTATGTTTTTCTCCACTGGTTGTGTCAGGACAATTTGCAGATTTTATTTTTTATGTTTCTTGAAGACGGGCCTTTCAGAATATATTCATCCTTTACCTGATTTTTCAACTCCAGTACTTTCTCAAATTTCTGTATCCTGAGCTGGTCGTGTGCACGGGACGTGCTGGTCTTTCAACCGTTTACCACACAATGTCATTTTTTTTTATATACATTATTATTTATTCCAACTCCACTGCGCACTCAAAAAATAATAATAAAGCTGACTTGCTTCAATTTTTCAATTGTACTGCCTCCAGGCTTGATTATGCCATGCGCTTGCGACTAAACTTTTATTTCGGTCCAGAGTTGCAAAATCCCAAATGTTCATAGTGGCGTGAAGCTCTGGATTCTGTAGTGACTAAACCATGTCTAAAAAAACGACGCTCGTTTTGTACAAATTTGAGACAAACAAATCCTCTCATTTGTCATGTGACAAATACATGACTGTATTTTCTACTTCACACAGCCACTACTCATTTGTAATCAGTCATTTTTAGGCATTCCTCAGTGCTCAAGTCAAGCACAAGAAATTGACTTCTTTTGTTTTTCAGCAATTCACACCTTGATTAAGGACACCAAATCGCCTCCTGTGACGTCATCAGGGAGAACAAAGACCCAAATACTGAGTTGAATAGACAATAGGACTGCACCATTCCTAACTTTATAGCCCTATTAGAATCAGAATACAATCCCACTCTACTGGTAGTGTTTGTGGACACAAACAATGCAGATGGCCAGAAGGTTAAAATGCTGCAAATGTGCCTAAGTTGAGCAGCTACTCGGGTTAATATGTTCCTTGAGGAGACAGCCTGGGGGAAGGAGATGAAGTTTCAATGCATGGCCAAAGAAACTTTCTACGCCGTTTCTATGGCTACTGCACAGAAACTCAGTGGCCACACTGCAGAAACGTCAGGAGAAGTGGTTATGTTTGTTGCAAAAGCCTTCCAGAAAAACAGTTGCGGGGGCTGGGGGGAATGGAGGAAAATCTGTCACACACACACACACGCACACACACACACGCACACACACACGCACGCACGCTCGCACGCACGCACACATACAGTAGGGGACGTGGTCAAATATGAACATTTTCTCCTTCTATTTTCCTCCATGCAGCAGCTGGTAGAAGAACCGTCTCCTCTCTGCAGAGACTCGATTTAGTTAAGATTTTGTTTAAATATAATTTGCTTAGGCATCGTGTCATAGACTTAATAACTGGAAAGCTAAACAAAGGCCCCCAGTGTAAACATTTTCCTGCGTGCCTAATAGCATCGCATGTCTGTCTTCAGACACAGAACACGTCAGTAATGTTTGCATATATTTCTTTATGCAACAAAAGTAGAGCTTTGATCCTGCTCTCCACAGAGCAGCATGACGATGTGGAAGATCTGGCTGGTATTCTGTCTCTCAGGTAAGTACATTTTATGTTGGTTATGTTAGTGAAAATGTAGGTTTTATACTCGGCAACAATTGTTGCCGGTGGGAGACTGCATAGTCTAAATAACACAAATGTGGCTTATTTACACAAATAGGAAAAAAAAAAAAAAGAAAAGAAAAATGATGACATGCATAACCTTTTATAACAAAAAATGGTTACAGGAGTGTTCAGAAATATTTTAGATTCATAAAGATTCAATGCGACATAGTCTCAATGTCTGACCTTTGAACTGAGAGGAGCGGTTCAACTGTGGGAATCACAGAGTTGTAGGAGACATCTTTTTGAGTTTCCTTCATGTCTAGAAGATCTAAAATATCTGATTGTTTAAGCTGTGTGGAAACAGCAAGTTGCATAGAATAAACGGGCAAACCACTGAGACACAGCATAGTGCTGCCTATCTATTATACCAGTGGCAACAGTTGTTGCCACGCTACATTCACTTTTCTCATGATCAAAATGTGAATGAAGGAGAACAATTTTCTGTTTATGAGTAGAAGATGCTTGAAAGAACATATGTTCAAAATATTCTATTTCTATTGTTTTATTGCAATATTATCCTGACGTCCTCTTTTACAGGTTTATGACTGACATTGGCGAGAGCGTTTCAGGCAGGAAGTAAAGAGATCTGGTCTTGTGACCAAAAATTGATATTGCTTAAAGAAGAAGCACTATTATTTTCATTTAAAAACTTCAATTTACTGCCAAAAGTCAAAACAATTCTTTTAGAGCTTCCAGAAGTTTGAAAAAAATATCCAAGCAACAATTGTTGCCTGTAGGGTTAAATGGGTTTTAATTGCTCTAATTCTGTGAAAAAGTTACATTGGTGGAATAAGACCTTGAGAGATTATGAGGAATGTTTGTTTTATTCCTAACAGAGAGGTTCATCCTCTCCACATGCAACCAGCGTCAGTATCACTTTGTCAATGGATCGTTCACCTGGAGTGAAGCTCAGGCCTACTGCAGACGGAAACACACAGACCTGGCGGCCATCCAAAGTCCCACTGAAGTGAACGGAGTTATGAATGTGCTTTCATCTGCTGGTCACACATCGGAGGCCTGGATCGGTTTGTACAGTGAGATCGACTGGAGGTGGTCCGATGGTTTCACAGGGAACGGGGCTGAATTCAGGTACTGGGACATCGCTGACAACGAACCAGATTTGTATTTTGCCAATCAGTTCTGTGTGTCGATTGGTCAGCCTGGGAAATGTTGGGATGATTCCTGCAGCATCTCATACCCATTTATCTGCTACAACGGTAATGAGACACAGCTGCTACATTTGAGTACTGACAAAGACTTGGTCATAAAATGTACAAATGCTGCTGGTTTTCATTCTCTACTGCAGGCACACAGGAGAATCCTGAATATGTTCTGGTCAATGAAACCAGATCCTGGTCCGATGCTCAGACGTACTGCAGGAAGAACTTCAGAGACCTGGCTACCTTCAGGAACGACACCGAAAACCAGAGAGTTCGAAGTTTGGTGCCTAAAGAGGGCATAGCATGGATTGGTCTGTTCAGAGATCCAAACTTTTACTGGTCTGATGGGAGCAGATCTGTCTACAGCAACTGGGCAGAGGTTTTCAACATAATAGGCTCCAGCAGAGTCATTTGTGGCGTCACATGGAGTTCAGGGCAGTGGAGGTTTCGCTCATGTGACACAAAAAGTTCGTTTGTTTGCCACAGCCTGCCAGGCAAGTGTTTAAGTGGTATTCCCTTATTGGTGAGCATGTGGCACAACATGAGCTGCAGCTTTTTAAGTGTTCCTTTTTTTCTCTCTCTGATCCTGTTATAAAAGCAACAATGAAAAGGGTTGTGAAGCTGAGACTGAAGACTGAGGACTCTGTCAATCTGAACGATCCGCGTCTGAGGGAAAGCATCCTGAAAAAGGTAAAGCTTCGAAAGAAACCGTTTCACATGTGAGACTTTGTGTCGGGATTTTCATTTTTCAAAGTGGTTTTGATTTTTATAAAGCTTAAAAAAGAGGTGGTGAAAAAAATGTTAGTAAAAAGAAAAAAAATTTGAAGATTCATTTATTTATTCCTAGATGGTCAAATGTGCTTTTCTCAAAAAAAAAAAAAACAAAAAAAAAAACATATCTCTGAATTGCTTGTTTGTATTTCTGCCATATTGGACTCAACAGAAGAGACAGAATGTATCATGTGACCATTTCATTTCTGTGACCTGTGTGCATTTCTAACATGAAAATTCACAAGAAACGCAAGAAAACGGCTTTTATGTAGCCGACCACTGCAGTGACTGAATCTGAAGTTCATCCATAACTTCAGATCCAGTCATGAAGTTATGGATAAACATTGATAAATATTGACAGTGTTGAACCAACACTGTCAATCCTTTGGAACAATAATGATTCTGATCAAACCCTCACCAGCTGCAGGACAGACTGAACGAGAATGGAATGAATGGAACCACAGTGAAGTGGAGAGAGCAGCCAGATGGAGACGTCTTCAAGAAGAAGACAAGAAGGAAGGCCGAACTCTGAGTTACTAATCTTAACTTGGATTAGTGAATTCCTCTGGTCATTTTCAGTTCACATTCAATTATAAAGTCAAAAACCTGTCATGTTTTTTTGTAATTATTTTGTAATTTTCAAATCTTTAGATTTAAAGTAATTATTCAACTTCACAGATAAATATCTTCTGACTGGAATTTTTCTTTAATTTGTAATCAAAGTCTTGTCTTGAGTCTGGTGGTGGATTTATAAAAGGAAGTCAGGGCGATGGGTGGAGACAAAATGGTGGCGAGTAAAATTGGCTTGAAACTTATTACCAAAGATTAATGATTCTAATCAATGGTGCTTTGAATTGATCTGAGCTACTTTTGATCTGATCTAGTGGATTGATTCCAAACGTGATTGGCTTGTGTCAAACTTTCATTCTATGTGAATATCAATAGTTTTTTGGTCACAAGTCTTTATAATGAGACTGGAGAAAAAAAGACTGAGAGGAAAATGATTATTCTGTTGGAGTTGATTCATTTCTGTCTCTGTTCACCAAGCAGGTTCCTGAACCAGTTTCAGAACCCGAGCAGAACTCTGCATGAATTACCTAGACAAATGGTGAGATTTGGTTATATAAAAAAAAGCAGGCTTAAATTGGAGGAGGGAAAAATATGAACTGAAGTGATGTTTCCTCGTGGATGAATTTAGTGATGGACCAAAAGAAAAACGACCTGATTTCTAGACATTCTGCAGGACAAGTACTAAAAATCAGATCCAGGCATGAAGTTCTGGATAAACATTGTTTTTATGGACAGTGGATGCTGGTGTGGGATAAAATGGCTTATTTTGAGTAGGAAAAAAAATCAACTTTTAGATTTGCACAAACAGAAAAAATGTTAAAATGTGTCTTAAAGCAGTAAAGTTTAAAACAGGATGGGCTCTTAAAGTTTGGTGTGTGGCTCTTAAAAGAGCCGTTGTGTTGTTGCAGCTGCTGGAGCCTCTAAGCTCTCTCTCCGCGGATGCGGCGGGCCAGCTGTATGTCTTTGGGCATGATGGTGACCCTCTTGGCGTGGATGGCGCACAGGTTGGTGTCCTCGAACAGCCCCACCAGGTAGGCCTCGCTGGCCTCCTGCAGAGCCATGACGGCGGAGCTCTGGAAGCGCAGATCGGTTTTGAAGTCCTGAGCGATCTCTCGGACCAGACGCTGGAAGGGCAGCTTGCGGATGAGCAGCTCCGTGGACTTCTGATAGCGGCGGATCTCTCTCAGAGCCACGGTACCGGGCCTGTAGCGGTGAGGCTTCTTCACGCCGCCGGTCGCCGGAGCGCTCTTCCTGGCCGCCTTGGTGGCCAGCTGCTTCCTGGGGGCTTTGCCTCCGGTGGATTTACGGGCGGTCTGCTTGGTTCTGGCCATGTTCCGCTGCTCCGATCGGGATCCAGAGAGAAAACCAAATGTTGCGACCCGCCGACGCTCCGCTGCTCTTAAGCTCAGGCTCTGGGCGTCGCTCTGTGACGTGCAGCTCCGCTCCGGATCCTGGTTGGTCGGCGGCTTCTCCTGCAGCTCAGCCCCGCCCAGAGGCGTCGGATCACGTCTGAATGTCCGCCGCTCATTGGAGGACGCCGCGTTCAAAAAGTCCGCCTCTCCGTCCCGCTCTGCCGGGAGCTTTTCTGATTGGTCGCCGGCATCGTCCCGCTCCTCTGCGCGGACATATAAAGCCGCTTTCAGCCGCTGCCGCTCATATTTTCTCCAGTCTCTTCTGAAACAAACAACAACAGCAAAATGAGCGGCCGCGGAAAGACCGGAGGAAAAGCCCGAGCCAAGGCCAAGACCCGCTCCTCCAGAGCAGGACTCCAGTTCCCGGTGGGCCGCGTTCACAGGCTGCTGCGCAAAGGCAACTATGCGGAGCGGGTCGGTGCCGGAGCCCCCGTCTATCTGGCCGCTGTGCTCGAGTATCTGACCGCTGAGATCCTGGAGCTGGCCGGGAACGCCGCCCGCGACAACAAGAAGACTCGCATCATCCCGCGTCACCTGCAGCTGGCCGTGCGCAACGACGAGGAGCTCAACAAGCTGCTGGGTGGAGTCACCATCGCTCAGGGTGGAGTGCTGCCCAACATACAGGCGGTGCTGCTGCCCAAGAAGACCGAGAAGGCCGCCAAGACCAAGTAGACCAACCCGCTGCTCTTGCCCAGCAACACACGCACAAAAGGCTCTTTTAAGAGCCACACACTCAGCCATCATGAGAGCTTTGCTTCCAACCAAAAACACAAGTGATGACTCTTCATATTTCAAACTATTTTCATGTTCAGTTGTTCATTTCAGAAACGTCATCATCTTGGACCACAAATCAGAGACACTTTGATTTAGACTATAACATCTATTACACATTTTCATAATTTAAACTCCTGGATGCTTTGCATAAAGTCCTTTTATTAAATTCCATCTTGTCATAACCACATAAGTATTTTTGATTTATAATTTGATTTTCTAGACCAACACAAAATAGTTTTTTTTTTCTTTTGCCCATTTTTCTCTTCAAAACACCTCAAACTCATTCACTTTAAAGAATGTCTGTAAGTATATTTCTCTAAACTTGCCACAGATTGTTTGGATTCAGACCTGGGCTTTGACTAGGCCATTAAACGTATAAAGTGATTGCAGTAATGGGGCTGACATTACCGCATTAGAGACAAAAAAACACTCCAAGCAAATCAGAGAGAAAGTTCTAGAACTAAAAGTCTCTGAGTCGGTGGGTTTAATAATCTGAGCTCCAAGTGTCACTTTTTATTTTCTCTTTATTTGTCTCTATTCCACACGTCTTTGTGCTGCTCTGTCTTCTATTCATCCTGAAATAAACCAAATGACAACATGAACTAGAGAAACATAGAAATAAAGGTCAATGTGGTGATTAGAGATTCATCCTGTGTCACATGTGATTTATTTTATATCCATAAACTATAATGTTATAGTGAATTTGGTCAAATTCATCTTGAAAGGATCTGATCCTGAAAGAATAAAAATCTGAAAAGGTTTTTGGCAACAAGAGCCTGATCAGTGTGAAGTGCACAATTCAGAGACTGAGATCCAGACAAAAGTTAGGGAGCAAAAACAATCTTTAATACATCTGCAGACGGAGAGCAAGAAATATACTGCATTAGGCACAAATTAGGATCCGCTCTGAGGAACCCAGAGTTGCATAGTTACTTTATTCATCTCTCTTTACTACCGAGGCAGAGACTCAATCTTCGAAGACCAAACAAAAGAAACAAAGGAAAACATACGAAACCTTGTATGCTCAAAACTGTAATGTTTACGGGAGGTGAAAACTAAACACTCTATCTCCATGCAGGGAAGGCCACGGGAAAAACAGCGAGTTCCCAAATAACTGTCTGGGGAAGTTCAGCAACCCTGGAAACTTACTTCAGCAGACACATCTTGGTTCATTAGTTTGTACACCGTTTCCAGCTGCACAGAAAAACACCTTGACTGTGATTCAAAAAACATTACATTTATATGACACATAAAGGAACATCATTTAATACGAATAAAACCTCTTCACATCAGCATTTGTTTAAATCCCAGCAGAGAAAAAGCTCTAAATAATAAAAGTAATAAAATGAGAAATTATTTAATAATGAGTGTAGAATTTGATTCCTTTAATATCATCTTTAGATCATTGAGAAGAATCGAACATTTCCTGGCAGGAGAATCACAATGAACCTGAAACCTGTGTGTTTATCATGTCTACAGATTATTTCATGTATGAAGGAAATATTTTGTGGAGTTTGTTCTGGAAAAACTCTTGATATCAACAAGTCAGAAAGAACATGGAGTTGTAATAAACTGAAAAAAGACGATTTTCAGAGCAGTTGCTGTTGAATCTTCATTCACTGCAGACAGGAAGTTTATGCCAGAGGATCAACAATCTGCCTCTCGCAGGATCCTGATGTTGTGTTTAGATCCGCTGAAAAACGGCTCCTGTTTTCTCCACCAGTCGCTGAACCGCCGTCATTTTACTCTGATTCTGTCCTCATGTGTCTCAGCCAACAGAAACATGTTTGTTCCTTTGACTATAATGTGGTTTTTGATGTTTTTGGAGGCGAAATTCGAGTAAAACTCCCAGCAAGAGGCAGAGAGAGGGCGAGAATGTGGCCGCTTTAAAGGCTCCTGGACCGAAGGAGAAAGTTGTCGGTCATCAGACTTGAGCTGAGCGTGGAGGAGAGAGACTTTTCTACCTGCTCGAGTCACTTTTGCCTCGTAACGTGTTTGTTTCGGGGGCATTTCGAGGCTAAATGTCAGCGGAGAAAACACAAAGTGGAGCCGCTTTTGCAGACGGCAGCAGAGCAGCGGACCGAGTTGTCTCTTCACGGTTCTCATGTGTGTTATAAGTCCCGCCTCCCGCTCTGAGCGCCACAAGTTCCGAGGAACAAGCGAGTCAAGAGAGACATGGCAGAGGAAGCTCCAGCAGCAGCAGCCGCGCCGGCCAAGGCTCCGGCCAAAGCCCCGAAGAAGAAGTCCGCTCCCCGGGCCAAGAAGGACGGACCCAGCCTCCCGAAACTCATCGTGGCCGCGTGGCCGAGTCCAAGGAGCGCAAGGGGATGTCCCTGGCGGCCCTCAAGAAGGTGCTGGCCGGGAAGGGGGTGGACGTGAGCAAGGCCAACAAGCGCATCAACACCGCCGTCACCAGGCTCGTCACCAAAGGGACCCTGAGCCAGACCAAGGGCACCGGGGCCTCCGGCTCCTTCAAGCTCGCCAAGGAGCCCAAAGCCGCCAAACCGGCCAAGAAGGTGGTGAAGAAGAAGGCTCCCGTCAAGGCCAAGAAGCCCGCCGCCAAGAAGAGCGCAGCGGCCAAGAAGCCCGCCGCCAAGAAACCCGCAGCAGCAGCAGCGGCCAAGAAGTCCCCGAAGAAGGCTCCGGCCAAGAAACCCAAGGCCAAGAAGCCCGTCAAGAGCCCCAAGAAGGCCGCAGCGGCCAAGAAACCCAAAGCCGCCGCCGCCGCCGCCGTCAAGAAGCCCAAAGCCGCAGCCAAGAAAAGTCCGGCCAAGAAACCTGCAGCCAAGAAGGCCGCAGCCAAGAAGACCAAGAAGTAAACTGCTGCTTCAGCCGCTGCATTTCATTCACCAAAGGCTCTTTTAAGAGCCAACACACATTCTGCTAAAGAGCACGAGCTGTCCTCTCGTTTACCCATCATTCACTGCTGCACAAACATTTACATTCATCTACAACTCGCAGCTGCATGGTTTATTAATGCACTTACTTTACACAATCATGGGATTTACACTCAATACATGTACAACACGTCAATACTCACACCTTTTCCTCATGCCACGTCATTATATTACGTCACTCTTCAGCTTATTAAATCACTGTGCACAAATCAGCACAGACACAAGCAGCACTGCTTTATGAAACCAACATGTATAAGATTAAATATGGATTTGCAACAAGTAGTCAAAAAAAAAATCAGAAAAAAATGCAAACAGAATAAACTGTTATATTTAGTTATGAAAACAGAAATTATTTTCATATTTAATCAATACCAATGAATTCGTGAAATGTGTTACTAAATTATATTTTTGGGAAAACAATTTTCTCAAATCTCAAATAATTCAAACTTCACGATAGTTAATGGAGATGAAATTATTCCCTTCAGATGCAGGAGAGGATTTTCATTCACCTGCCTTTTCAGTCTCATCTAAATTGAAGTTTTGCTTTTTGTTTGTTTTAAAGAACGTTCTCCATCGTCAGTCCTGTGGGAGGAGCCGCTCAGCTCAGCTCGGCTCCTCATAGGTCCGCAGTTCACATATAAAGCCGACACTCTGCGGCTCGCGCTCACATTCGTCTCTGTGTTTCTGCAGAAGAAGAAGAAAAACAGCAACATGAGCGGCAGAGGAAAGGGAGGCAAAGGACTCGGTAAAGGAGGCGCCAAGCGTCACCGGAAAGTTCTCCGTGACAACATCCAGGGAATCACCAAGCCCGCCATCCGCCGTCTGGCTCGCCGCGGGGGAGTCAAGCGCATCTCCGGCCTCATCTACGAGGAGACCCGCGGTGTGCTCAAGGTCTTCCTGGAGAACGTCATCCGCGACGCCGTCACCTACACCGAGCACGCCAAGAGGAAGACCGTCACCGCCATGGACGTGGTCTACGCTCTCAAGAGGCAGGGCCGCACTCTGTACGGCTTCGGGGGTTAAACTCGCAACCACTGCAAAAAAGCAAACCAACTAAACAAAACAAAGGCCCTTTTCAGGGCCACACACTCACCTCTTCATCAGCCAGTATTCCTGTAAATGTGGCTTTATAAATCTAATTATTTATGATTAACCTTCACTTCCTAAAGGACAAAGATGGCTTTTTGTGCAAATAACAATTTCTGCAATGAAACCCTTAAAACTATTCTAAACCAGAAAAGTATCATGTGGTTCCTCACCTTGTAAAACTGATGCTGACACCTGCTGGACCTAAAAAATAACTACAACCTTGTTGATACAGTTAACTGAGTGATTTGATGTCCGAGTTACAGTATCATTGTAATTTATTTAGTGAGTAAATATCAACATAACATCATAATCCAAGTGAAACAGTTCATGAAGTTGCATGTCGACTGGATCTATTTTTTCCCCCACAGATTTTGATGAAGACATTTCATAAAACGTTTTAGGAAACATTTGGTCTATTTTGCTCTTTTTAATGCAACTTCAGCTGTAGAGTTTGGATAGATTGCATTTTAGTGTCTCACAGGTTTCATCCATCTGAAGCAGATCAGAGACTAAATTGTACCATTTGATACTTTTTCAGCATTAAAAGCCTGTTTTAATAGTGAACCAAATCTCTTATTTCTCAAGGTCATGACATTGAGTTTTTGTTGGGTCCCACAATTGGTGAACAGAGTTGGGTGTTGCTCAGATTGAGCACTAACAGTATCTTCATATGAAAGAATCACTGAAAACACAAAAAAATCTTGGCAAAACTCAGTTCTTGCTTTGCTTCAAGTTCTCGCTGCCGCAATGTAGAAAACTTGCCAAAGGATGTTGAAAACAAATGATTGCAAGTTCCTGACAACGAATCGAATGTATTTCACTAGAGTAATTTGTAATATGGAACTTTTATATTTCTGTCTGAAGAAACCAAAGGACGTCTGTTATAAAAAGAATGAAGTGTTCATATATCTATAGTATTAGGATTGAATTGGCTAAAAATGAGGCTGTTTACTTTCGTTTCCCTTTTGGCGGGAGTTTTCCCGCCTTTCTTCGCGCGGCTGCGTGCAACGTTAGAAAAGCCACGTGGTTTCACTTCCAGCGCCTCAACCAATCAAAGCCATGAGACGCTACAGCTTCATTTACATACAGCGTGTATAACATCAGCTGTTCCCTCATCAGCAGTTCATTCGTCGCTGTTAGTTTTCAGAGACAACATGCCTGAACCCGCCAAGTCTGCGCCCAAGAAGGGCTCCAAGAAAGCCGTCACCAAAACCACCGGTAAAGGAGGCAAGAAGAAGAGAAGGACCAGGAAGGAGAGCTACGCCATCTACGTCTACAAGGTGCTCAAGCAGGTCCATCCCGACACCGGGATCTCCTCCAAGGCCATGAGCATCATGAACTCCTTTGTCAACGACATCTTTGAGCGCATCGCCTCTGAGGCCTCCCGTCTGGCTCACTACAACAAGCGATCCACCATCACCTCCAGGGAGATCCAGACCGCAGTGCGCCTCCTGCTGCCCGGTGAGCTGGCCAAGCACGCCGTGTCTGAGGGAACCAAGGCTGTCACCAAGTACACCAGCTCCAAGTAGACCGGCTAATGCTGTGAAAACAACCCAACGGCTCTTTTAAGAGCCACTCACTGCATCTGCAGAGCTTTGGTCTTGATGTTTAGATTTGTTTTTTTTTTGTTTGTTTTCTAATTCTACTAAAAGTTAAGATGCGACTAGAATCAGGGTGAAATCTGCACATTTCATGAAATAGACAACTTGGTAATATTCCTTCAGTGTTTCAATAATTCAGTCTACAAAAAGTCAAAACTGCTAGTTTGTTTATGAACAGATCTTTCAGGCAAAAGTATTTAATACTAAACATGCAAACATTTGTGTTGGGTGTGTGTGTAATCTGAAGGATAAACTCACCAGATTGCTCCCATAGCTGCACCCTAGAGCAAAGGGAGCAAAATTTTCTCTGTCTGGAAAAGTCATAGCCTCCCAAAATGGGTCAAACCTTCAGGACATGTGATTTATCATCTTTTAACAAACTGTGACGAGTTCTCGTCTTTGCTGTAAAAATGTCGGAAATGGAAAAACAATCAGACACACTGCATAGCCACATGCTGATCTCTACCACATGCAGCAAAAGGACCTTTTTTGGTCACTGGCCCAATCTGATCACTATGGAAAGTGTCTGGAGTTATCGAAAGATTACTTCAGCTTTCGTTGCTTATCAGATGCTCCTGGTTATACAGCACCTTTGTTTGGTTGCTACCCATCATTGCAAAAGGCCCAGTGATGAATGTAACAGCATATTAGTTCCACTGTACAGAAGCTCTAGTCAGGCATGTCATGCTAACTGTCCAAAAAATAAAAAAAACTTTTTAAATGTGTTAATACCCATAATGAGCTGTAAAAGAATATCTGGTGGAAGATCAAACATAATTTATAAGATTAAATTACTATGGGTCTGATTTTTTGGCAGTATTATGTTCTTGTTAAATATATTAAAATGTTAAACGTCTGAATACATAAAATGAAGTTAGAATGACACTGAATGGAAGAGGATTTATTATGAAACATTCTTATTTGCCAATATTGTAGATGGGTCTGGAAATGAGAATTTATTAAGAGCCGTTTGGGAGCCGAAAGAACCGGCTTTCTTAAAAAGAACCAAAATTCACGTAAATACAAAGCGGTTTGACTCTGTAAAGTACTTTAAGACAACACCGCTTATCGAAGTGATGAAACCCCAAACCGAGAAGAACAGAAAGTTTTAAATAATGAGGATTTGTTGCTCTCATGATAGATGAGTGTGTGGCTCTTAAAAGAGCCTTTTGTGCGTGTGTTGCTGGGCAAGAGCAGCGGGTTGGTCTACTTGGTCTTGGCGGCCTTCTCGGTCTTCTTGGGCAGCAGCACCGCCTGTATGTTGGGCAGCACTCCACCCTGAGCGATGGTGACTCCACCCAGCAGCTTGTTGAGCTCCTCGTCGTTGCGCACGGCCAGCTGCAGGTGACGCGGGATGATGCGGGTCTTCTTGTTGTCGCGGGCGGCGTTCCCGGCCAGCTCCAGGATCTCAGCGGTCAGATACTCGAGCACAGCGGCCAGATAGACGGGGGCTCCGGCACCGACCCGCTCCGCATAGTTGCCTTTGCGCAGCAGCCTGTGAACGCGGCCCACCGGGAACTGGAGTCCTGCTCTGGAGGAGCGGGTCTTGGCCTTGGCTCGGGCTTTTCCTCCGGTCTTTCCGCGGCCGCTCATTTTGCTGTTGTTGTTTGTTTCTGGAGACGAGACTGGAGAAAATATGAGCGGCAGCGGCTGAAAGCGGCTTTATATGTCCGCGCAGAGGAGCGGGACGATGCCGGCGACCAATCAGAAAAGCTCCCGGCAGAGCGGGACGGAGAGGCGGACTTTTTGAACGCGGCGTCCTCCAATGAGCGGCGGATATTCAGACGTGATCCGACGCCTCTGGGCGGGGCTGAGCTGCAGGAGGAGCCGCCGACCAACCAGGATCCGGAGCGGAGCTGCAACGTCACAGAGCGACGCCCAGAGCCTGAGCTTAAGAGCAGCGGAGCGTCGGCGGGTCGCAACATTTGGTTTTCTCTCTGGATCCCGATCGGAGCAGCGGAACATGGCCAGAACCAAGCAGACCGCCCGTAAATCCACCGGAGGCAAAGCCCCCAGGAAGCAGCTGGCCACCAAGGCGGCCAGGAAGAGCGCTCCGGCGACCGGCGGCGTGAAGAAGCCTCACCGCTACAGGCCCGGTACCGTGGCTCTGAGAGAGATCCGCCGCTACCAGAAGTCCACGGAGCTGCTCATCCGCAAGCTGCCCTTCCAGCGTCTGGTCCGAGAGATCGCTCAGGACTTCAAGACCGACCTGCGCTTCCAGAGCTCCGCCGTCATGGCTCTGCAGGAGGCCAGCGAGGCCTACCTGGTGGGGCTGTTCGAGGACACCAACCTGTGCGCCATCCACGCCAAGAGGGTCACCATCATGCCCAAAGACATACAGCTGGCCCGCCGCATCCGCGGAGAGAGAGCTTAGAGGCTCCAGCAGCTGCAACAACAACACAACGGCTCTTTTAAGAGCCACACATCAAACTTTAAGAGCCCATCCTGTTTTAAACTTTACTGCTTTAAGACACATTTTAACATTTTTTCTGTTTGTGCAAATCTAAAAGTTGATTTTTTTTCCTACTCAAAATAAGCCATTTTATCCCACACCAGCATCCACTGTCCATAAAAACTGTTTATCCAGAACTTCATGCCTGGATCTGATTTTTAGTACTTGTCCTGCAGAATGTCTAGAAATCAGGTCGTTTTTCTTTTGGTCCATCACTAAATTCATCCATGAGGAAACATCACTTCAGTTCATATTTTTCCCTCCTCCAATTTAAGCCTGCTTTTTTTATATAACCAAATCTCACCATTTGTCTAGGTAATTCATGCAGAGTTCTGCTCGGGTTCTGAAACTGGTTCAGGAACCTGCTTGGTGAACAGAGACAGAAATGAATCAACTCCAACAGAATAATCATTTTCCTCTCAGTCTTTTTTTCTCCAGTCTCATTATAAAGACTTGTGACCAAAAAACTATTGATATTCACATAGAATGAAAGTTTGACACAAGCCAATCATATTTGATTTTCGAAACATCAAATTGTACAATTATATGGTAAATGGAGCCGCAGCTTTTGTTTTGCCTCATAAAGAGCAGTGAAACACTCACCGGCGGAGTGGATGTAGCAGACAAACGGAAGCCTGGTTGCACAGGACAAAAATGTTCACTTGCCTAAATTTAGCACAGATGTAACTCCTCATATGACTGTGAGTGAGCTAATTAGAATTGAAAAATAGTCCCTGTTGCTGAAGAAGAAGGTGCTGCCATCAGACCAATTGAATATTCAATCTTTGTACAGGCCAATCCAGGGGCAGGCTTCATCAAGCAACACGCTCTGGGCCCTCAGGTTCTCCAGGTCGTTCCTCACTGTGGCCAGGTCGATGAAGTTCTTCCTGCAGTAGCTCTGAGCCCTGGACCAACTCATTTCTTCATCCACATAAACATACTCAGGATCCGGTTTAGTTCCTGTGGTTTAGGAGGATGGAAGACAGAGGTGAGCGGTTGGGCTACCCAAATTCCAGAAGAACTATATAGTTAACTGTACAGTGCTAGAACCATTGCTGTACCCAAATAAAACAAATGCAAGAAAAATGACCCATTTTCAACTACTTAATTATAAAACCCTAGAAGAAATTATAAGTCAATTAAGTTCAAGCTCCTGCTGTCTGAATGTTCTACCCACACATTTCCTTAAGGAAGTCCTGCCTGTTATTGCTACTGATCTGATCCAAATAGTAACTCATCACTCAAATCAGGCGTTTTCCCTCAGGCTTTGAAAACAGCAGTCATCAAACCACTGCTAAAAAAGAACAATCTGGACAAATCACTACTGCAGAATTACAGGCCGACCTCTGACCTCCCATTCATCAGCAAAGTTATTGAAAAAACTGTGTGTAAAAAATTAAATAGTTTCCTCATGATGACCAACTGCTTTGACTCTTTCCAATCTGGTTTTCGTGCTCATCACAGCACGGAGACTGCCCTCGTAAAAGTATTCAATGATATCCATATAAATACGGACATAAAGACGATTACAAAGTCGGCCTTCTATCACCTGTTGGACCTAAGTGCAGGTTTTGACTCTGTCGACCACGACATATTACTGAATCGACTGGAGAGTTGGGTTGGACTCTCCGGTTCGGTGCTCGACTGGTTTGAATCTTACATAAAGAACAGGGATTTCTTTGTTTCAATTGGAAACTTCTTATCAAAGAGGTCAAAGGTCACATGTGGGGTACCCCAAGGTTCAATGTTAGGACCCCTCTTATTTAATATTTATATTCTCCCACTAGCTCAGGTTATAACAGGAAATAATATTAGCTACCATAACTATGCGGATGATACTCAGCTCTACATTACGATGTCACCAGGTGGCTCTGAACCCATTCAATCACTGATCAATGCTTAGAACAGATAAATGTGTGGATGTGCCAAAACTTTTTCCAGCTGAACAGAATCAAAACTGAAGTCATTATTTTTGGACCTAAAGATCTAGAGTCAATGCACAGCTTCAGAAATTACAACTAAAAACTAGCGATCAGGCCGAAACCTGGGAGTAGTGACGGACTCGGACTTGAACCTTGCGAGCCACATAAAGACGATTACAAAGTCGGCCTTCTATCACCTGAAGAACATCTCCAGGATTAGAGGACTAATGTCTCAGCCACATCTAGAGAAACTCATCCATGCATTTATCTTTAGTAGCATTGATTATTGCAACAGCGTCTTTACAGGCCTGTCCAACAAATCAATCAAACAGCTGCAGCTGATCCAGAACGCTGCTGCTCGCGTTCTCACTAAAACCAGGAAGATAGAGAACATAACAGCAGTTTTAAAGTCCCTCCACTGGCTCCCTGTAGGTCAAAGAATAGATTTTAAAATACTGTTGTTAGTTTACAAATCACTGAACGGTTTAGCACCACAACAGCAAAAATCTGCTGTTGTTGTATCAACCTTCCAGAACCTCTCAGGTCTTCTGGTTCTGGTCTGCTCTGCATCCCCAGAACCAGAACCAAGAGAGAAGAAGCAGCTTTCAGCATCTATGCACCAAAAAATTGGAACAAACTTCCAGAAAACTGTAAAACAGCGGAAACCCTGACTTCCTTCAAATCTCAAGTAAAAACGCACCTTTTTAGAATTGTATTTGAAATGTAATATGTAACAATGTATTGTTTATTCTATGTTGCGTAACTTTGTGTTTTTGTGTTTATGATGTAAAGCACTTTGAAATGCCTTGCTGCTGAAATGTGCTATACAAATAAAATTTGATTAATTGATTGATAGAAGCGATTAATGTGAATATCCTTTCTGTGTGCTTTAGGTTGGAGGAAATTTGTCAATTCTCATATCCATGCAAACATACCCATGACTGACTGTAGGTAAATATTGCATCGAAAACATGAGATTTGCATTTATTTTTTTTCAGGAATCAATGACATGAGTTTCTTCAATTGAAACAAATACAAACATGAAGGGCAAACTGGTTCATGTTAAAATGGCCGTTTTTTCTTCCAGGGTGGTTTTTGTTTTCGCCTGTTTTTTTTTTTTTTCAAAAGGAATAATGAACAAGTTAAAAACTGTTCATTAGTAAAGTAAAACATAAACAAGGCTGATCTAATCAAAATAAGACACTGCTGAAGTCTGAGTGGTAAAATTGTGTCTGAGAGTTCAGAGGGGGGTTTTTCCTTGAGGCGAAGACGTACTGAAGCGAAACATTCGAAAGCGGAGACCATGAATGCGGAATGTTGATCTACTAAAAGTGATAATCAGCGCGGCAATATACTGTCCTTACCAAAGTTTGAAGGTCAAAACATAAAGCGCTCCAAAAGTTACCTTTGGTCAATGTCTCTTCCGTGCAGCGAAACCGTTCTGAAGCGAATCTTTCAAAAGCAAATTATTAAAAATCGGAGAGCATAAATGGAAAATGTCCAACTAAAAGAGATAATCAGCCTGGAAACATCCACTGACTTCACCAGAGTAAACATGCGCATCCCTGGTTGGGCTCGAACCACCAACCTTTCAGTTAACAGCCGAATGCGCTAAAAACGATTGAGCCAAAGAGACGGAGGTGCTGCAGTGCTGCAGGTGGTCCTGGCATAGAGGCATCACAGGCGCAACATCTTTGCCTCGCTCGTCAAATCCAATGCAAGACAGTGTTCGGTGGTAAGACAGTGTTCGGTGGTAAGACAGTGTTCGGTGGTAAGATAATGGGGAATTGCTTCAAACTCAAACACTGTTGTCGCCATGTTTTCCTTGCCAGACAGACTAGATTTCTATACTGTCCTTACCACAGTGTGAAGGTCAAAAGATAAAGCGCTCCAAAAGTTACCTTTGGTCAATATCTCTTCCGTAAAGCGAAACCGTTCTGAAGCGAATCTTTCAAAAGCGAATTTTTAAAAATCGGAGAGCATAAATGGAAAATGTCCAACTAAAAGGGATAATCAGCTTGGAAACATCCACTGACTTCACTGGAGTAAACATGCACGTCCCTGGGTGGGCTCGAACCACCAACCTTTCAGTTAACAGCCGAATGCGCTAACCGATTGCGCGACAGAGACGGAGGTGCTGCAGTGCTGCAGGTGGTCCTGGCATAGAGGCATCACAGACGCAATAGCTTAGCCTCGCTCGTTAAATCTAATGCAAGAACTGTGGCAAAAGACAGTGTTCGGTGTTCAGATGATGGGGAATTGCTTCAACCTCAAACACTGTTTTCGCCACGTGTTTCTTGCCAAACAGACTAGATTTCTATACTGTCCTTACCAATGTTTGAAGGTCAAAAGATAAAGCGCTCCAGAAGTTACCTTTGGTCAATGTCTCTTCTATGCAGCGAAACCGTACTGAAGCGAACCTTTCAAAAGCAAATTATTCAAAATCGGAGAGCATGAATGGAAAATGTCCAACTAAAAGGGATAATCAGCTTGGAATCATCCACTCACTTCACTGTAGTAAACATGCACGTCCCTGAGTGGGCTCGAACCACCAACCTTTCAGTTAACAGAAGAATGGGCTAACCTATTGTGCCACAGAGACGGAGGTGCTGCAGTGCTGCAGGTGGTCCTGGCATAGAGGCATCACAGGCGCAATAGCTTAGCCTCGCTTGTCAAATCCAATGCAAGACAGTGTTCGGTGGTAAGACAGCGTTCGGTGGTAAGACTGTTCGGTGGTAAGACAGTGTTCGGTGGTAAGATGATGGGGAATTGCTTCAAACTCAAACACTGTTTTCCATGTTTTCCTTGCCAAACAGACTAGATTTCTATACTGTCCTTACCAATGTTTGAAGGTCAAAAGATAAAGCGCTCCAAAAGTTACCTTTGGTCAATGTCTCTTCCATGCAGCGAAACCGTACTGAAGCGAATCTTTCAAAAGCAATTTTTCAAAATCGGAGAGCATGAATGGAAAATGTCCAACTAAAAGATAATCAGCCTGGAAACATCACTGACTTTCTGGTAA